ATCTCTGTGAGTTCGAGGCCATTCTGGTTTACAAGAGCTAGTTCCAGGACAGGCTCTAAAGCTACAGTGAAACCCTGTCTTGAAAAAAAAGAAAGGTAAGGTGCTCAGAAGTCTCCCAAGCCACAGCTTCCACGGTGTGTCAACCTTGCGGAAGCTTCATCAATACTAAGCAGAGAGAACCCCTGTAGAGAGAACTCCATAGGGCAGTTTAGAAGAGATGCTCTTGGGAGGTTTGGCTATTCCTCAGCATGCGACCTTGGGGCAAGCAGGGAATCAGACTCTGTTTTTCAGAATCTCTGCTTTTTGTTATTATTGTTTTGAGTCAGGGCCTCTCTATGTAAGTCCCAAGTGGCCTGGGATTCACTATATAGTCCAAGCTGGCCTTGAATTCAAAGAACTCTGAGATCTGCCTCTGCCTCCTGAGTGCTGGGATTTAAAGATGTATGCCCCATGCCTGGCAGACTTTATTGCCCCAGGTAAGGCCATTAGTATTGGTTCAGGGACCACACTCTGAGTGGTATTCCGAAGGGCTCTGAGCAGTATTGCCTGCATCCTGACACTTAGGATGGCAAGACTGAAGAGAGGCTTGGAATCATGATGGCAGTGATGAGGATCCAGGAGTGTGAGGGATCAGTGGTTCTCAACCTTCCTGATGCTGCGACCTCTTAACAAAGTTCCTCAGGTTGTGGTGACCCTCAACCATAACATCACTTTGTGACTATGTCATGAGGCTCTGGGTCTATCCCCAGCAGAGCATAAACCAGGCTTGGTAGTGCATGCTTATAATCCCTGCACTAGAGAGGCGGAGGCAGGAGGATCATAAATTCAGGGCAATCCTCAGTTTGACAGCAAGCTTGAAGTCAACCTGGGATACATAGCCCTGCTTTGATCTGGGAGAACAGTGGCAGTGGAGACCACTCTGGGTCTGGACTGAATTCAACAGGTTTGTTGCTACCTAGGTCAAGAGACAACTAATGAAATAGATAAAGGGACCAGCATCCCGTCTTCACAATACCAACATCCTATTCGTCTTCTTACAGTGGAGACTGTCAACGCCTCTATTCGTGGAGTCTCACAGGAACCCTCACCTATCAGCAGCAGTCTGAGCCCACAACAGGACACCGCGACAGCACAGCTAGCGACACAGCCTTCAATCTGAAACTCCCTAAAGCCTATGAACCATCAACGTGTTCAGTATTTGTTTAGTACTCAATGTCTTCACCAACCCTTCACAGTACAGTAGTGAGCTGGCTCTGGGTGTGCAAACCTGCAATTTCAGCACTTTTGAGGCTAGCCTGGGCTACATAGACCCAACTCCTTAAAAAAAAAAAAGCTAAGCCAAAAATGATAGCATAAAGAAAATAAATAAGGCACACTGTGTAGACTCCCTTAAGGATGCTCACTGTGGAAGGTCCTGAGGTTTTACAAAAAAATGGGATCGTATAGCTTAGGATGGCCTCAGACTTACTACAGAGACTAAGACGATCTTGAACTTCTGATAGTCTACTGAGTTGGAGTACTGACCAGCTGTTTTCAACTTTATTTGAGTCAGGGTCTCATTATGAAGCCCTGGCTGGTCTGGAACTTGGTATGTAGACCAGGTTGGCTCCAATTTGCAGAGATCTACCTGCCTCTGTCTCTTAAAAGCTGGGATTAATGGCGTGCGCCACCATGCCTGACTGTTTGTTTTTCAAGACAGGATTTCTCTGTGTAGCCCTGGCTGTCCTGGAACTTACTCTGTAGACCTGACTGACCTCAAACTCACAGAGCTCTGCCTCTGTCTGAGTGTTAGGATTAAAGGTATGTGCTTTGATTTCAACTTGTGAAACTAAATTTATCTTTTTCCAAGTATGTTTCTTAACATCTCCAATGTGCTCTTTCTTTCTATTCCTTAAAAAAAGTTTGCTCACTTTCCTTAACCTTCTCTGAGTGTGTCTCTCATTTTATCACAGAGAGACTATACCGCAGAATAGAATAAGCTTTCTTTCATTTCCTTTCCATGTGTGGGTGTGTGAATATGTGCTTGCAGAGGTCCAAGTTGATGCTGGGACTCCTCCCCCATTGCTCTTTCACCTTAAACAATGAATCAGGATCTTAACTGAACCCAGAATTCCCTCGTCAGCTGGCTCTGGAGATTCCCCACCTGACTTCCAATGCTGGTCACCACTCTCACTGGGCATTTCATGTGAGTTCTGGGTATCCAAACTCTGGTCCCAACACGTGAGCAGCAAGCGCTTCAACCGTGGAGTCGCTCTCCAGTCTATAATTTTATTTCGAGACAGTTTTCCTGGGTAGCCCAGGCTATCCTTAATCTTAATATCCTATTGCTCCAGCATCCCAAATTCTGGGATTACAGGCCTGTGCTATGTTACCATGAAGAATAAGTATGGACTATGTAGTTCTCATGCCTAGAGTTGTGATTTACTTACTCTACAGTCTTGGTCATGTCTCCTCATGTGTAAGGGGAAGATCTTACCATGTAGGGTGAGGACAAAGCCATGTATGTTGCCACAGACATAAAACTTTTAGTGCATATTAGGTGGTAGCACATCACCCTTAAACTGCACAAGTGGGGAGCTTTTGACTCCCAGTCATTTAAGCTGCGGTCTGATAGCATAATACCAGCCTGAAAAACAATGGTCTCATGGGTATTTTAAAGCTCAAAGTAAAATGGCATCCAGAAGAGTGACCTGAAAGTTATTTTGTTTGATTTGGTCCAGTTTAAGAAGTTCCTGGAGCTGGGCGGTGGCAGTGTACGCCTTCAATCCAGCACTTGGGAGGCAGAGGCAGGTGGATAGCTTTTGAGTTTGAGGCTAGCCTGGTCTACAGAGAGAGTTCTAGGGCAGTCAGGACTGCACAGAGAAACCCTGTCTTGAAAAACAAAACAAAACAAAGTATCTGGAAACTATGAGAACACCAAAGAGCTGCTGTTTGCTCAGATCATAATTCTGGTGTATGAGATCAGGTGCCAAGGAGATCATTATGATGCCAAAATTCCAGCCTGCCTTCTTTGCAGGTTCACACTGACACACCAAGCTGCCTTGATTGAACCAAGTCCTGGCTGAAATAACCTCAGGAAGTATGGAATATAGTAGAAAAATACCCCAAATTTAAATATAGGGTTGGAAATGTGAGCTCTTAAAAGAATAACTGCTTAGCTATGGATTTTCAGCACCACAAAATGAATCAAAACACAAATATAAACCTGACAATCTTCCATGTTTACTAGGTAAACTAGATTTGGTTTTATTGCTTCTTATTTTTTGCTGTGAAGGATGTCCCTCCCCAAACCGTTTGCTAGAAAATGTCAGGAACACAAAGTGACACCTTCAAGTCACACCAAGAAACAGGAGGGAGAGACAATTCCAGAACCAGAGTGGCAGGAGTTCTAGGACAGCAAAAGAACTAACGAATGAATGAGACCTTACCAAAAGCTTTACCTAAGGTAAGAAACATGGCATGTACAAGCTTATCTGTGTCAATGAACAAAACAGTTTAGTCAGGTGGTGGCGGCGTACACCTTTAATCCCAGCACTCACAGAGGCAGGTGGATCTCTGTGAGTTCGAGGCTAGCCTGGTCTACAAAATGAGTTCCAGGACAGCCAGGGCTACACAGAGAAACCCTGTCTCGAAACAAAACAAAACCAAAAAACCAGTTTAATCACAATGCTAGTTCCTGAACATTTGACTTAACACATCAACAAATTAAAAACAAATTCTCTAAAAATTACCTAAAATGAATATACTGAAGCTGTGTTGGTGCACACTGATTGGTCATCCCAGAATTTGTGAGGTAAAGGCGGGAAGATCAAGCGATCAAGGTTACCTACTTGGCTACCTACTGAGTAGGTATACCAGAAGGTCAACTGAGGCTGTAAGAGACCCTCTCTTAAACAGCAAAACAGAACTCAAGAAAAATACTACTACTCAAATGATACTGTGAAAACAAAACAATCCAACAACAAAAACCTCTCCCAAATTTACAGAGCATTTCTGGTTTGTGGCCATGACTTCTGTGTGGTTAGCAGCTAGTAGTAGCTGCCTTTGGAGTTAATATACACATCTGTAGGAGGAACACAGCTTTCTCTGATGAGCTGTTTGAGAAATTCCTAATTCTCACTTATCTGAATGCAAGATTCTAGTGTCTTTAATTGTTAGTCTAATAGATTAAATCTGGACAAACTGAAATAAGTGAGAAACATTTTGAAATATGGAGTCACTGAAAACATCTGTGTGCTTAAACATCTGATTTTGGTTTGGTGTATGGTCATGATACTGATGAGTGGATGAATCAGTGGAGACTTTGATCCACGTACACTTTAGATCTGGCATACACCTGTAAGTTTGGGGTTGCTACTGAATTTCACTGTTGATATGTGTCTGGCCAGGCTTGAAAGCATACGGCCTTTAATTTGAGCATTTGAGGAACAGAAGAGAGCAGATTTCCGTGAGTTCAAGGCCAGCCTGATCTACATAGTGAGTTCTAGGGTAGCTAGGGTTATATAGTGAAACTGTCTAAAACAATACTAATAAAAACAAGTGGTGGGGTTTTAAGGAGGAGGGGATGAGTTTTTTTTTTTTTTGTAGGTTTGCCATTTCAAGGGCAAATACATCTCCCGCATCCTGACTTCGCAGTAGCAATCCTGAACTTGATTGCCTCGGCAATACTACGTGCTATTCCAGTACTGCACTTGCTGCAAGGCAAGATCTACTGCCTAAGTATCGACACGTTTCTCCTTGGGCCTCCAAGGAGCTACCTTCTCCAGAGCAGCGAACTCTCCCCCACTCCTCGCACCAAGAGTCCGGAGAGAGAGACACAGCCAGTCTCCCTAAACTTAGGGTAAAGAGTCCAGACAACTTAGCTCAGGAGTCAGGCCGGGAAAGATCAAGTAAGAGACGCAAGTCGGAAGCAGGTCAGGAGTTCCAGGTTCAAGATCTCATCCCAGAGCCTGCGACAGTAGTAACCAGGCTCGTCGGAGCCGGGCCTTGCAGACGCTTACCTGTTTTTGCACCGGCCTCCAGCCGGAAACATTCAACAAGAATCTACACGACGGGGAAATCAAAAGTGAAGTCTGCGTTGATTTTTCACCCCCTGCGCACCAGCCCCCATGTCCGCGCATGCGTCCTACTCCTTCGGCGTCTTCCCTAGCCTGCCAGAGGCTCATTCTCATTAACTACGCATGCGACAAACCGAGGAGTCGTCCCGTAGTTTCTAGAGAACCAATCGGCGGAGGCCTCGACCTCAAGCCCCACCCTCACGCCGCTTGCGTCGCCCTGCCCTCTTTGGCGCGAGCTGCGCGTCAGGGAACGAGGGAAGGCGCCTGTCTGCGCCGGCTCGTCCCTCTCCGGAGCAGCCAATTGCCGGTGAGTCGCCGGGCACGCGCGCGGGCGCACGCCTCCTGGAGTTTAACGGTCGCGTGAGGCCAATTTCTCGGGCCAGGCTAGGCAGAGACGAGAAGGCCAGGTAAGCGGTCGCGGCTTGTGGGCAGCTGCGTGCCGCGAGGGCTGAGGACTGAGTCTTAGACGATCCCATCAGAGGGGACCCCCTTGGATGCGTTGACAGGCTAGGGTGAGGGACTGTGGCTACCGCAAAGCTAGCCGGAGTCCGCTGCTGTTGCGGGCGCTCTTTCTAGATCGTGCCCTTGAGTGACATCGGCGAGGCCCAATCGGAGAACGGCCTTTGCAAGGGGCGTGGGTGCTCGCCCCCTCCCACCGGTAGTGGAACCCACGCTTCCATTGGAAATGACAGTGATCGTGAGCGGCTCTCCATCATGCCTGCTGCCTTGTATTCTCTCGCCTCCGGTCTTGAACCGATAGCCGCCACCCGCGACTAGGGTCTGACTTCTGCCCCTGAAACCACCCCGTACTGGTTCCTTTCAGCCTCCCCGCAGAGGAAGCCCTGTGAACTTTCAAATTGTTAATACTACTCCGTCACTCCTGCCCCCGACTCCAAAGGGTTGTAGGGTGAGGGACAGAGCATCTTCTTTTGGTGCTGAAAATTATATTAGAAATGTCTGTTCCTGTATTCAGTTTCTATCAAGTTTATTTCAGATTCATAGCGGGTTTCCCCCTTTTCTCCTCGCCCTTCCCCGTCCCGGGAGAGGTGTCATTGAGGTGCTAGTGGTGTTTCTATCTGAATCTTGCATCCGGATTACCTCAGCGGAGGTGGATGTGGGGGAGGGCCTGTGAGAAGAGATGAAACTGTAGATCCACCTCTCTGGAGAATTTGTGGTCATTTGAATCCACATATTTTCCTTGCCAGTTGGAAGAGGCAGCCCCTGGATTTTTCAATACCCCATTTGTGATGGGCCAGACACTGGGGTGGGAAGGTGGCGGAAGTCAAATCCATTTGGTTAGATCTGGTCACCCTTTGCCTCTGTACCTGTCCTGGAGGCAGTACTTCTTTAACTTCAATGAACTGATTGTGTTCTTTAAGCCCTGGAAAGTGAGAGTTGGGTGGAACAGGAATGTGAGAAAGTTCTTCCGATGCAGTCTCTAAACTCCTCTTTTTATAAGCAGCATGGTTTTTTTGTTTTCGTTTGGTTTGGTTTGGTTTGGTTTTTGTTGATGTTCCCCTCATCTTTTTCTCTTCCCCCATCTCCTTGAAATCAGTGGATTCTGGAAAGACGAGGCATATGGTTGGGCTTATGACAGCAAGTTTAAATCTATATATCCAGATTTAGTAAAATTTTAGTTAACTTGTTCAGAGTACAAAGTATTGAGAATTGTACATCCAGCCATTTTTAACAGTTGAATAGCTCTTAAACGCAAACATAAAGACTAAATAGTTAAGTCCTGTTAAGTGACTACATAAGTTAACAAACCTTCTGCTAAAAAAGTGAACCAGGCCTGAAAGTATTCCATTTATTATGTAATAGAGTGCACCTAGAACCTTGACTATTAAACACAAAATTCTGAAATATTGCCTGTAAGAGATAATATGATTCTTACAAATTACCTTAAAAAGACATATGGTCCCTATACATAAACTGCATCCTGTTGAAAGTATGTGATTTAGGGGTTTTAGAAGAAGAAATGCTAACTCCAGAACTTTCTGTCACCCTGAGGTGAAAAGCAAGTGCACTGCAGTGGCCTCCTTTCTCTCGTCCTCCTCAGGGCTCCATAGTCTGCTTTGCCCTGTGGATTTGCCAATGCTAGCAGTGCTAGATTCTTCATATAAATGAAGTCATAGAGTAGTAGTTTTTTTTTTTTTTTTTCCCTGAGACAGGGTTTCTCTGGGTAGCTTTGGAGCCTGTCCTGGAACTCTCTCTGTAGACCAGGCTGGCTTCAAATTCACAGAGATCCCTTTGCCCCTGCCTCCCATGTGCTGGGACTAAGGGTATGCGCCACCCCTGCCCGGCCTGGCTGCTGTTCTTATTGGTTTTTTTTTTTTTTTTTTTTTTTTGGTTTTTGGGTTTCTCTGTAGTTTTTGGTACCTGTCCTGGAACTAGCTCTTATAGACCAGGCTGGCCTCGAACTCACAGGGATTCGCCTGCCTCTGCCTCCCGAGTGCTGGGATTAAAGGCGCGCGCCACCACCGCCCGGCTTGGCTGCTGTTCTTAATGTAGATGAATTTTCAAGGTCTCCAAAGCCATGAAAAGATAGTGGGTAAATTGTAAATTTAATGGCTTTTTCCATAGTTTTCCCTGTTCATCTTCAGACTCTTTGGAAGTGTAGCGGACTTCACAGCTCTGAATGTCAGCTGCTGAGGATGCTGGTAGACGATGAAGCAACTGCAGAGGAGCTGGAAGCAGTCTCCTCCTTCAGGAGGAACAAGAATGTTTCCAGATGACAGAGCTTAACAATTTCTGTACGATATGGAGAATTTTGATTTGGCGGAAACTTTGCAAAAATCTTCATCTTCTGCAGACTCTGATATCAAAAGTACTCCCCATTCTCTCGGATTGAGCTTGCGTGCTAATAGGTAAGAATTGTTAGATACTATTTCCTTTCTTTTTTCCTTTCTTTCAAGATAGGATTTCTCTGTGTTTGTCTGTTCTGGAACTCTCTTTGTAGACCACACTGGCCTTGAACTCAGAGGTCCACCTGTCTCCATCTCCCGAGTGCTGGGGACAATGGTATGTGCCACCACCACCAGACGGTTGGATATTATTTTCATGTGTTAGTAAACCAAAATAACTTTATTTGCAAAACTGACCAGTTGATCTAATCAGTGTCATTGTTGCCTTAAAGAACAAACAACCCATCTCTGATGAGGAACAGATCTGGAACTCGCTCTGTAGACCAGGCTGGCCTTGAACTGAGAGATCCGTCTTTATGCTTTTTTATTTTGTAACTTACAAGCATATCTTTAAAATTTGATAGTCTATATATATATAATTTTTTGAGGTAAGACCTCTTATAGCCTATATATTATGACTCATAATGTACTTAGAGATAATCTTGATCTTTTGATTCTCTACATCCTGATAATTGCCTAGTTATTTCTCCTTTTTTTTTTTTTTTACCTTTTTAATTTTTTTAAAGAGACGGTCTCATTGTGTAGCTCAGGCTGGCCTTAAACTCAAGGAAGTTCTCCTGTCTTCGCCTTCCTAGTACCAGGGTTACAAATGTGAGCTACCATACCTGGCTCATTTCTACATTCTAAATTGATAGTATAAATAATATTTTATATTGTAGAAGCATCACACCAATCTGGGAAACAGTAATTAAAAATGCGTATTAGAACTGGACAGTGGTGGGGTGCATGCCTTTAATTCTAATACTCAGGAGGCAGAGGCAGGTAGATCTCTGTGCATTCCAGGACAGCCTGGTCTGTAGAGCTAGTTCCAGGATAGCTAAGCCTAAAAAAAAAAAACAAAAAAAAAAACCCAAAAAACAAAACCAAAAAGCAAAAAACAGACTGACTTGACAAACTAGCCAATAAAATGCTTTATGTATTTAGTTATTGATTCATTGATTTCGGATCTCTATGTCCCTGACTGTCCTGAAGCTCATTTATATAGTCCAGGTTGGCTTGGACCCTGTAGCAGTCTCTTGACTCTACCTCCCAAGCTGGGGATTATGGCTTTGTTAAGACACACACACAAACACACACACACACATACACACACACATATATTTGGGTGCTCCTTCTTTCCTTCCTTCCTTCCTTCCTTCCTTCCTTCCTTCCTTCCTTCCTTCCTTCCCTCCCTCCCTCCCTTCCTTCCCTTCCTTCCTTCCCTTCCTCCCTCCCTCCCTCACTCTTTCCTTCCTTCCCTCCCTCCTTCTCTCCCTCCCTCCCTCCCTCTCTTCCTCCTTCCTTCCTTTCTTCCTTCCTTCCTTTCTCTTTTTTTGATACAGGACCTCTCTACATAACCTTAGCTCTCGTGGAACTCACTATTTTGACCAGGCTGGCCTCTAACTCATAGAGATTCATCTACCTCTGCCTCTAGAGTTCTGGGATTAAAGATGTGTACAACCATACTTGGCAAAGGGTCAGGTAGCTTTCAATATAAAGATTTTGGTGAATTTGTATATTATAAATTAACTACCTTAAAAACTGTTCATTCTCTGCCTTCCTTGTGAGGCATTTGAAGCAGTAATATCCCACGGGCAAGATAGTATTAGAGAAAGATGGAAATGCCCGAGACATGTCTGCTGTAGTGCTCCACCTTGAAGCTGAACGCTGGCCACATTTACCTCCTGTCTCATTTGGTGACGCCTCTGAAATCTACTTCTAGAAGAAATTCCACTTAGTACTTTAATCGCCTGTCGAACCTAAATGTACTTCTCATGAAATTGATGTCATTGAATTTGTATCTCCTTTCTTTGTGACTGATACTTAAATCCACCATGTTGAAACTAGATTATTGCAACTCTGTAAAATTCTTATGTACAACATATATTTTAAAGAGTTTATTATAGTCTTGTTCTTGAATTTTTTTTCTGCTCCTAACTTTATTATTTTAGTATTTTCATTTTGGTTAGTGTGTGTGTGTGTGTGTGTGTGTGTGTGTGTACGCATGCCTGCGTGCATGTGTGCGAAACAAAACATCTATACAGTAAGTAAATAAAATTGCTCAGGGGCTGGGAATGTAACTCCACTGGTTGAATACTTATTTGGTGGCATGCAGGAAGCTCTGGGTTCCGTTCCTAGCACAGCAGAAATCAGGAATCATGCCTGTAATTCGTACACTTGGGAAAGAAAGGTAGGAAGAATAGCAGTTCAAGCTCATTTTCTCCTATGTAATGAGTTTGAGGCCAGTCTTACATTCATGTGGCTAAAAAATAATAACAGTAAATTGGAGGAAAGATGGTTCAGTGGCTAAGAACACAGACTACTCTTCCAAAGGATCCAGGCCTAATTGCCAGCACCCACGTGGCAACTCACAACTGTTTATGGCTCTAGTTCCAGGGGATCCTGCACTCTCACACATACATACATGCAGGTAAAACATCAATGTACATAGAATAAAAATAAATCTTTGAAAAAAGAAAACATTTGGCCTGGCTGGGCAGTGGTGGCGCTCGCCTTCCATCCTGTCACTCGGGAGGCAGAGACAGGCGGATCTTTGTGAGTTCAAGGCTAACCTGGTCTACAAGAGCTAGTTCCAGGACAGGCTCCAAAGTTACAGAGAAACGCTGTCTCAAAAAAACAAAAAAACAAAAACAAAAACAAAAAAACCAAACAAACCACAAAACCAAAAATGCCCTTTCAGCTACAAGACAGATCTAATGTTCTGAATTGTATTTGGGGTGTTTATAAACAAATCTGAAGTCATCCCACATTTGGAAGTCTTCTGGAAAGTGTTAGTTTTCCATTACACACCGTACAGGCTCAATAAATCCTGTCTATTGACTGCTAATTGGGTTGGCAGAGCTTTCATTCAAAGACAGTTCAGTGATAAGCACAAGCTTATCACATGGAATCTGAGGATCTGGTTACAGGATTGACTGTTCTGGGCAGCAGAGAGAGACTGCTTAGTGCACAATGCAGGGCTGTTGTTAAAGTGGGCCAGATGAGCCTCTAGAACAATTAAGGGAAGCTGTGACATCTTCCCTGTCGTTTCTGCTGGGCTTTGGGGAGTTCCCTCAGTGCTGAAGAAGGCTTCTCTCATAAAGACGTGAGTGTGTCCCTGTGTGGTCAGGTGTTCTAAGGAGGGGCCATGAGGAGGATTAGGTGTCAGTGTTTGTGTACTGCTCTGCTAGATCTTGAACTGCTGAATTAGTCAACTCTTCAGTTGAATGAAGAAAACCATCTGAATTATTTATGTTTCAACAGAAGTAGTCCCCACCTTAGTACAAATGGGGTATCCTCTTTCTCAGGGAAGACCGGGCCACCTGTCACTCAAGGCACAGTCGAAGTCCTCGCTGCTTTAACACAAGAGCTGCAGAACAGTGACCGGACTGACTCAGAACTTTGGAAGAATTGTGAGGTATCTCATTTTGTTTTATTTGGGGGTGGTGGTGCTCTTTTAAATATTAAATAAATGGGGCTCTACTGAATTATTAGAAATTTATGTCCAGAAGAGCATGATATTTAACCTTAGTTCTACAGTCAAATGACTAAGCATAAGATAACTGATAACAAAAGAAGGGAGATGGGACACCATGGCCACAGAGGCAGACTTGGAGACTCCTTGTGGACTGAAGTCTCTGTTCCGAGCACCCTTGGACTGTTACCAGTGTTACTAATCACAGTCTTCTAAGTGACTCTTCAAGTTGTGCTCAGTTTTAAAAACCTGAATCTTCTTTGCTCGGAGTATCTTGAATGCTCTTATGATAAATTAAGGCCTCTATTTTGTGCCTAACGCATTCTTCTGATGTGTTGACCTGTCTGCTTTTCGCAGCAGTGACTTCTTTGGTTAAACCATGGTGGAAATTTAATTCTTATGAACATCTCCCTGTTGAAGTATGGGAGTTGGTGGTGGTGTGCGCTCCTAGCCCTGGAAATAAGCCAGGGAAAAGGAGAATCAGAAACAGACTTAAAGACTGACACATAAAAGGATACTTACAAATTTTGTTTTGGAGAATAATACTCAAGATGGCCTTTTTTTCATTTATTGGTTTGTTTTTTGAGACAGACTCTTTATGTAGCTCTGTCTGACTTGGAGCTTACTGTGTAGACTAGGCTAGCCTAAATCTCACAGAGATTTTCCTGACCCTGCCTCTCGAGTGCTGAGACTAAAGGTGGACTCTACCATGCCAGACCTCTTTGCTCTTTAGACTACATAAAAGGTTGTAATGTTTTATAGAAATGCAAACGTAATTATCAAACTCTAAGCAGTTTTTAACATTAATTGTACTTTTAGAACCATAACTTGTGTTTTTAGAATATAAAACGGAAAGAAAGATTTTCAGTAGCAGTCACCCCAAATATAATGACTTCAAAGAATTTGCATTTAAAATGAGCTTTTCAGAAATTTGAGCAGTTGTGGTAGTTTGAAGCAGGGTCTCACTCTAGCCCAGGTCTCATTCTGTCCCCCAGCCTCGCCTTCAGTTCTTGGCAGTGTCCTGCCTTAGCTTCCCAAGCACTGGAATGTGGGGTTTGAGCCGCCGTAGTTGACAACTTTTCATTTTTCTCCAATGGTTTTTTATGTTTTTCTCCTAGCAATCACTGAGCCAACGTGGAAGACCCATAAGATGTATTTGTGTGCGATGCCCTTAAGACCCAGCATGGCCTGGTCTGGAGATGTAGCTCAGGGGCATGGTACATGGTTAGCATGCATGAGACCCTGGGTTCTAACCCAGCGTCTGGGGAAAACAAGTTTGATGAACTATTTTTCCTGTGTGTCTATTCATTAACCTGTGACCAGTAACATGTAAATAGGACCAAGAGCAACTACCACAGCACAGTTTATTTCTGAAAACTTGTGTTTGATTAGAAATTGTTATTTAGTAATTTGAATCAACACCTGAAGTTAGAGAGAGACTGTATTTCCGAGTTTAATGTATTGATTTAGAAAAATGGTTGGGCCTGGATTTCCTTGTGGATGATTCCAGGCTCATAGTCTTGGCCCTGGGCTCTCGTTTGCAGAGTTCAACCTTGGTTGATGCAGAGTCAGTGGAATTCTGAGGAGGAGGAGGAGGAGACTGATCTAGAGGTTTTTTTTTTTTTAAAGATTTATTTATTATGTATACAATGTTCTGTCTGCATATCTGCCTGCAGGCCAGAAGAGGGCGCCAGATCTCATTACAGGTAGTTGTGAACCACAGTTTGGTTGCTATGACTTGAACTCAGGTCTATGAAAGAGCAGCCAGTGTTCTTAACCACTGAGCCATCTCTCCAGCCCTGGGCTAAAGTTTTAAAAAGCATGTTTTTGCTTGATTCTTCACTGTGGTAATGTTTTGTGAATTCTCACTTGACTGCAAGGTTGGCTACTCAGTGAAGAGCCACTTACTGCTTTTTCAGAAAGGATAGTGCACTCTCTGGTCACTTCCATAGGACTTCCTGGTTTTATTTAGTGTGCTTTTGTAGTTGTGTGAAAACAACAGAAACCACCAATATTTTGGAGTAGTGTTTTAGGATCAGAAAGGTCAGGTGTTATGCAAGTCTTAAGGTCTGATGGTTTCCCCTGAGTTTCTGGTGTTCATGTCCCTTTTGGAATACGGTTGTGTGTTTCCTGATGCTCAGAAGAACTAATCTACTTTGCTAAACACAAAACCTTCCTTATATTCTGAGTGTGCAGAGTGACAATATCCTTAGTTTGCTTTAGCTAGGTGTTTTTAGCCTTTTAGCACTTTGCGTTATGTGTACAGTAATAACAGTTATGGGGTGAAAAGAAAAGAGGTGTTTACATTTTCTTTTTCTTTTGGGGGGGGTTTGGTTTTTCGAGAGAGGGTTTCTCTGTAGCTTTGGAGCCTGTCCTGGAACTCCCTCTGTAAACCAGGCTGTTCTGGAACTCACAAAGATCTGCCTACCTCTGCCTTCTGAGTGCTAGGATTAAAGGTGTGCACCCCCCCCCCAGCCTGTAGGCCTCTTTTTATAGTAGTTTTTTAAAAACTTTTTATTCACCTATTTATTTATTTATTTATCTCAGTATTAATGCGTTTTCCTCAGTAGTTTTTTTTAAAGTAAAATCAGTTCATATTATTCTGAAGTGAAAATTATAGGTAAAATAACCTATTTGCACTAGCTTTTAAAAATTAGTGTAGGTGGTGGCGCACGCCTTTAATCCCAGTACTTGGAAGGTAGAGACAAACAGAGCTCTGTGAGTTCAAGACCAGCATGGTTTACACAGAAAGTTCCAGGGCAGCGAAGGCTACACAGAGAAACCTTGTTTAAAAGAGAAAAAAAAAAAATAACAGGCCAGGTGGTGGTGGTGCACGCCTTTAATCCCAGCACTCAGGAGGTAGAGGCAGGTGGATCTCTGTGAATTTGAGGCCAGCCTGGTCTGCAGAGTGAGTTCCAGGACAGGCTCCAAAGCTACAGAGAAACCCTGTCTCGAAAAACAAACAAAGAAACAAAATAGTAAGGTAACAGATGCTTGCTTATTTTTCACCTAGGTCAGTTTGCAGCCATACATGCCTGCTGATGTGCATGGACACACACCCACACACCTCTACCTGTGATATAAAGGAAATGGAAATTGTTTATAGCAAAGACTATTATAATATTATCCATGTTCATAGTGTGTCTGTGAAGTTTTCTGGTGTCTCTGCAGTTTAAAACTCTCTGTGAGGGCGTAACTAAAGAGGGAATCTACTATTGCTACCCCAATGACTGAGACTAGAGTAACGTTCTCTTCTGAGCTAGTGACCAGGTTCATTTCTGAAACAGACTTCAGCGTGCTTGGGGCAATATGCACAAAACTGCACAAATGTAGTTACTTTTTTAAAAATATAAAACAGAGACAAGTCGAGGAATAGAAAAATGCTTGGGATGGTGGGAGGAGGCGGTAGCCTGGGATTGTAGGTTGGAAGGACAACAGTGTGTGTGAAGAGCTGGGGAGGGAGCTTCCAAAGCTGGGAGGTGAAGGCATCTCTAAAGGCCCAAAGACCAGGAAGAGGTGCGGGGGTGGGGGTGAAGTTGGAGGAGTGTGCAGCAGTACGAGGCAGAAAGCAGTGCTAGGGTGGAAAGGCTGTAAGAGGTGAGGAGCAGAGCTGTGGGCAGGATGCTTTTCACTGATGTCGTGTGCCACTTGCACACCACCTATTGCTGAGCAGGTCAGCACCAGACTTACGGTGGGATTCATCCTTCTGGAGAATCTGTGCCCTAGTCTGACTTTGTGTCTCGTTAGGGAAGTGCTTACTGCTCTTGGTAGTCAGGAGGATTCGTGACCTTAGTGTGGGCTCTGAAGGGTAGTCAAGGCCAGTTCCACAGCATGCCAGGGAATCAGCTTTTTGTTCCTTGCACTTGAGCTCCACAGTGTTTGGAACACTTCAGTAAAAGTAAAAGTACTCTACTAATTTGTTTTTATTTTTGTATGTGAGAGTCTTCAGGGCACATTTCAGTTCTTAAGGAGATTGTTAGCTTTTATGAGGAGATAGGATGAGGAACGGAAGACAAATCTAGAGGCTGGGGAGATGGCTTAGTTGACAAAGTACTTGCCACACAAGCATGAAAACCTGACTTCGATCCCTAGCACCCACATAAAAAGCTGGGTAGGATAGTGGCTCTTGTAGCCCTAATACTCTCGAGGTAGAACTGGGGTTCCTGGGCTAGCTTTACATAATTGGCAAGTCTCAGATCCCAGTGAGAGACCCGTTTTCAAAAAAACAAGGTGTTTAGCTCGCTCATTTCTGTCTGGTTTCCATATGTGTACACGCATACATGAATGCATACACACATATGCACATGCACAGACAAAGTGCAGCTATTAGGAGGGCTTTTGTCTCCATGTATAGTCTAGACCAATCTCCCTCCTGCCTCAGTTTGCTGAGTGCTATGACTGTAGGTATATACTATTGTACCTGGTACTGTCCAGTACTTTACTAATCAGAAATAACGGGGCTGATGAGATGGCTCAGTAGGTAAGGATGCTTGCCTCCATGCCTGATGACCTGGGTTTACACCCTGGGCACCACGTGGTGACAGGAAAGAACTACCTGCCATAAGAAGTTTTTAAAAGAATATAGTAACAGACCTGGAGAGATGGCTCAGTGGCTAAGAGCACAGGCTGCTTTCCAGAGGATCAGTGTTCCGTTCACAGCACCCACATGACTGCTTATCACCTGTAACTCCAGTTCCAGGGGATCTGATGCCTTCTTCTGGCCTCCTTCATACTGGGCAACAACAGGAGACAATTTAAGATTCCATTTGAGGGGCTGGAGAGATGGCTCAGCAGTTACGAGCACTTGACTGCTCTTCCAGGGGACCTAGGTTTATTTCTCAGCACCCACATGGTAGCTCACAACTGTCTGTAAGTCCAGTTCCAGGGGATTCAGCACCCTCACATAGACATACATATAGGCAAAACACCAAGGCACATAAAATAAAAGTAAATATTAAAAAAGATTACATTTGAAAAATAAGGCACAGATTTATTTTTAATAAGGCATAGATTATTAAAAACAAGATTTTGGCAGATTTTTCCAGATTGCAGATTACATTAAAAAAGATACTTACCTTTGCCTTTGTAGTATTGCACTGAATATGTATTTTGCATTATTTAAACTGGCCTATAAATTTTACATTAAAATAATAATTTAAAAAACAAGTGTTGATGGACAGTGGTGGCACTTGCTTTTAATCCCAGCACTTGGGAAGCAGAGGAAGGCAGAATTCTGTGAGTTCTAGGCCAGCCTGGTCTACAGAACTAGTTCCAGGACAGGCACCAAAGCTACAGAGAAATCTTGCCTCAAAAAACCAAAAATCAAACATATTTTTTTTCCAGGCTTGGTGCCTATAATCCCATAATTTAGGAAGCTAAGGTAGGGGGATTGCTGTGAGTTTGAGCCCAAACTGGGCTGCATAGTGGGTTTCAGGCCAGCTTGGGCTACAGAGTGAGACCTTGTCTAAAAATAATCAGACAAAGAAGGGGTATGTTTCTCACTAGAGTGTTTTTCTTGTGGCATCTTAGGTTAAAATTATGTTCAGTGCAGATTCTTTATAATTTCTTAGGCCAAGTGGTTGCAGCTGTTCAGTGTGGTTGAGCGACAGTGCCAGGAGCAGATTGTTGCCCAGCAGGAGCAGTTTCACAGGCAGATCCAGGTGAGTTACCTCAGACATCGATGCTTTGCATTTGTGAGATTGGCAGACAAAACAGTTTATGCATTAATTTTGTTTTTGAAGATAAGACACCACATTTAGAATAATAGCATGGACTTTTCTTAGTATTAAAAAATGTTTAATGTAATCTGGGCGGTGGTGGCACACGACTTTAACCCCAGCACTTGGGATGTAGAGGCAGGCAGATCTCTGTGAGTTCGAGGCCAGCCTGGTTTACAAGAGCGAGTTCCAGGACAGGCTCCAAAACTACAGAGAAACCCTGTCTCAAAAAACCAACAACAACAAAAAAAGATGTGTTGAAAGTACTTCTCTACCCTTTTTGCTCTCAGCGCATCCAGGAGGAGATAAGGAAGTTGGTGAAACTGCAGCTCAGCACTGCTTCCTGGCCTTCCTGGAGCAGCGGCTCTGTCAGTGAGCAACAGGTGTCCTCAGAAAGCCAAATGGGCTGCTTTTCTGAAAACAGCGAAAGAAATGAGTCTGTTACCAGTTACCCAGAGTCTAAGGGACCCGAGACACAGCCAGAATTGTCCACGTCCCACCCAGACTGCAATGTGGACAGCAGCTCAGTGAGCAGTGGCTACGGCACCTTCTGTATCCTGGAGATGAACACGCACAAGGCTAAGGAGCCCCCAGAGCCCATGGAGCCTGAGGAGGCTTCCAAGGGGCAGCACACAGCCCCTGCGGTGCAGGCACATGCCCCTGTAGGTGGCACAGCAGCCATAAACTTTTTTGCACAGACCCCTGAAGAGCTTTGTGCACCTCTAAAGGAAGATGTTTCTACTTTTCCTGGTGAATTTGAACATAGTTTTCTTAGTGAAAACAAGATTTCAGAAGTATACAGTGGAAAAGCAAATAGGTAAGTAGAATTACTCAGTAATTTAAAGTGGCTTTTGCTTGTTTATTAATGACATTTAGAATATAGTAAATAATCCTTTTTTTATTTGGTCCACAGTAGAATGAAATAATTTTGGACACAAATCAGTTTTACCATTAAAATCTGACTCTTCCATTGGAGCTGCATGTGGAGAACTGAAATAAACAGATCCCGACTTTTCCCATGTTCAGTGCTTGTGACTGTGAAATGTGGGGCTGGAGAGTGCTTGGCAGTTAAGAGCTCTGGATGCTCTTTTTTACAGGACCTGAGTTCTGTTCCCAGAACAAACATGGTGGCTAACAATTGTAATTGCAGTTCTAGTTGATCTAATACCCTCTCTTGGCTCCCTAGGTCACTTTACATTTGTAGTGTAGTGCATATATATAGCATGCAGGTAACACATCCATAAATAAAATCAACTTTTAAAAAAAGACTTTTTTCTTTCTTTCTTTCTTTCTTTTTTTTTTTTCTTTTCTTTCTTTCTTGAGACAGGGTTTCTCTGTGTAGCTTTGGAGCCTGTCCTGGAACTCACTCTGTAGACCAGGCTGACCTCGAACTCACAGTGATTCGCCTGCCTCTGCCTCCTGAGTGCTGGGATTAAAGGCATGCACCACCACAGCCTGGCTAAAAAAGACTCTTAAATTTAGGCTGGGTGTGGTGGGACATGCCTTTAATCCCAGTACTTGGGAGGCAGAGGCAGGAGGATCTCCGAGTTGAAGGCCAGCCTGGTCTACATCCAGGACCATCCTGAAAAGAAAAAATAAAAACTAAAAATACTTCAAAATCAAAAACAACAATAAATCTTATGAAATTTTGTGGTTTCCCGTAAGTTTTCAGTTTTACACATCTGAAATGTGTTTTAGAAGCTGGGTATGGTGGTACATGCCTTTAACCTTAGCAGAGGCAGGTAGATCTCTTGAGTTCAAGACCAGCCTGGTTTATATAGCAAGTTCCAGGACAAGGGCTATATAATGGAGAGTCTCAAGAAAGAAAGAAAAGAAAAGAAAAAAAAAAAGGAAAGGAAAGAAAAAGAGTTAGGAGAATCAGGCAGGATCAGTGGGATGGCCCTGGATAAAGGTGCTTGCCATACAAGTTTAATGATCTGAACTCTATCCCCTTAACCCATGGTGGAAAGAGATAATTGATTCCACAAACTTGTTCTCTGGCCTTTATGTGCACACTGTGGCACACATACACCATGCAAATACATGGATAAATAAACACATCAATGAATGAATGAATAAAAATTTAGGAAAAATTTGCAGTTGGAGGATGGTTGAGTGGTTTAAGAGTGCTTGCTGCTGTTGCAGAGGACCTGAGTCTGGTTCCCAGCACCCACACAGTGGCTCACAGTGACCTGGAACTCCAAGGGTAGTATACTAATGTCCTCTTTTAGCTTTTGCAGGCATCAGACCTCTGTAGGCATGTAGTATTCACAAATAAACATAGGCAAAACATTCGTATCCATAAAAGTCTTTTTACTTTTTGGCTGGTCCGTGGTGGTATACTCCTTTAATCCCAGCACTTGGGAGACAGAGGCAGGCAGATCTCTGAGACCATCCTGGTCTATAGAGCAAGTTCCAGGATAGCCAGGGCTACACAGAGAAACCCTGTCTCAAAGAGAAAAAAAAGAGACACTTTTACTTTTTTATTTATGTGCATTGGTGTTTTGCTTGCAGGTATGTCTCTGTGAGGGTGTTGGATCACTTGGAGCTGGCATTACAGACAGTTTGAGCTGCCATGTGGGTGCTGGAAATTGAACCCGTTTCTCTTAAACTCTGAGCCATCTCCCCAGAAAAATAAATCTTTAAAATAAGAAAGTGTAGCATGAATTCTAGTTGGTCTTAATAATAAAAACCCAGAGTCAGATACAGGGGTCAATGTTGAAGATCAGAGAAGCAAAGCAGTTAGCCACTGGAGAATTTTTTTTACCTCTCTCAATGCTCAGACCGAAGGAGCCATCCTGTCCTCAGATTGTCTCCTCAGGCTTCATACTCAGACTGCAACTGTCTCTACCAAAACCTCAGACTGCACTAAGCTCCTGCCTCCTCCCCCTTATATTCCTCATTCTGCCCAGCTATATTACTCCTGTCTCCACCTCCCTAGTGCTGAGATTGAAAGTGTGTGATCCCAAGTCCTGGGATCATCTTTGCGTGAGCTCTGTGTCTCTTTTAGAAGATTCAATCTTGTGTAGCCCAGGGTGGCCTTGAACTAACAGAGATCTGGCTGCCTCTGTTTCTGCAATGCAGGTATTAAAAGCGTGTGCCACCACTTCCTGTCCTCTAGTGGTTTAGCTTTGCACTCTGATCTTCAGGCAAGCTTTATTTGTTAAAACACAAACAAAATATTACTACAAGAAGGAGTTTTAGGAGAATCAGTAAAACATCATTTTTTTGTTTTTGTTTCTTTGAGATAGGACTCTATATAACCCTAACTCTCCCAGAACATGCTGTATAGACTGGTCTGGTCTCACACTTACAGAAATCTGCTGTCTTTGCCCCCTGAGTGCTGGAATCAAGGTGTGCACCATTGCATCTGCCCCTTTTTACTACTAGTAGAAAAGCAAAACACTGCCCACTGAAGCAGTAGGTACTGTGCTGACTAATGGCTTTTAAACTATTTTATTTTTCTCCTTTTAAGTAGTAAGTCTATAACGTCATGGGCACAAAAGCTGAAGCAGAACCAACAAAAGCAAGCACATACAGAAGATGGCTACTCAAGACCTAAGCCAGGGAGTGAGTTAAACCGGAAGCCTCCAGTTGAAACAGTAGGTGATAAGTGATCACACTGGGTTGCTGTGTTTTTACTCCTTTGTTTATTTACAAATCCTTTTTTTGTCTTTCTTTCTTTCTTTTTTCCTTTCTTCCTCTCTTCCTCCTTCCCTCCCTCCCTCCTTCCCTTCCTTCCTTCCTTTTCTTTGTTTTTGGAGGCCAGGTTTTTCTGTGTAGCCCTTACTGTCCTGGAACTCTGTAGACTAGACCAGCCTGGAACTCACAGAGATCTGCCTCTGCTCCCAAGTGCTGGGATTAAAGGTGTGCGCTACCACCACCCGTTTTTTTTTTTGTTTTGTTTTGTTTTGTTTTGTTTTAAGACTTGTTGAATTTCATGTGTATGAGTGTTTGTTTGCATGCGTGCTTATGCACCACATGCATGCAGTGCCTCTAGAGGTCTGAAGAGGGCATGGGATGCTGTGGTGTTGCTAGTGGTTATGAGCCCCATGTGGGTTCTGGGTACTAAGTCCTCTGCAAGAATAGTAAGTGCTCCTATCCACTGAGTATCTGTTCAGCCTTGAGTTGCACAAATCTTTTTTTTTTTTGTCTCACGATTGACTGTGATTTACTTTAAATGCAGCTTCTTTTTTTTTTTAAATATTTGTTTTATTTATTATGTATACAATATTCTGTCTGTGTGTATGTCTGCAGGCCAGAAGAGGGCACCAGACCTCATTACAGATGGTTGTGAGCCACCATGTGGTTACTGGAAATTGAACTCAGGACCTTTGGAAGAGCAGCAATGCTCTTAACCTCTGAATCATCTCTCCAGCCCCCATAAATGCAGCTTCTTTAGTAGACAAGAAATTTGAGCTAATGAAGGACAAAATTCTACAGAAATGATGATTGAGAGATGGTTAAAAGTGGTAGCTGCCTTGTAGAGGACCTGAGTTCGATTCCCAGCACCCAGTGGCAACTTAGAACAGTGTGTACTCCAGCTCCAGGGAATTTGATTCCCTTTTCTGGCCCCCATGAGCACTGCACCAAATGCCTAGACATATATACAGGCAAAGCATCCATACATCTTGCAGTCAAAGCATCCATCCATTCATAATTATGAAAAGGGGGGATTGTAGATCACCTACTCTCTTAGTAATTAAATGTTTGCATTTAGCAAGAAAGTGATCCATTAAAGAAAGCCATTATGCTGGGTGGTGGTGGCCCACCCCTTTAATCCCAGCATTCAGAAGGCAGAGGCAGGTGGATCTCTGAATTCAACACCAGCCTGGTCTACAGAATTGAGTTACAAGATAACCAAAGCCTTACGGAGAAACCCTGTCATGACAAACCAAACCAAAGAAACAGACAAACAAAAACAAAAAACAAAAACAATCCTCCAAACCCTAGTTCATTAAAAAACCAAGAAAGCTTTGGCTTGGGGTGTAGCTCAGTGGTAGAATACTTGACTGACATGTGCACGTGTGCACATGAGCTCCTGGGTCTTCCTTAGCACGGCAAAGTATACCTTCAAATGGTATCTCTTGCTAGTACATTGCAACAAGTAGTACTGTACGTATGAGCACTTTGAAATACCTTTCTTAAAATTGTTGAAATTTGAACAATTCTGATTTATAATCTGAATTATAAATTGGTAATAGATTAATTTTTGTCTTGTGGTTGGGTTTGCTGTCTAACCCAGGCCGTCTCTTCCTCTTGCCTCCCAGCCTCCTGAGTAGCAGGACTGTGGTAGTACACCACCATACTCTGCAAGATGAAATGTTTACACTCTGTGTGCATCTTTTGCTGACCCAGTGACTGTGTTTAGTAAAGGGTCATAGACATAAAGTTCCAGTGTATGTTGTTGCCACCATGGCCTAAATTGTAATGGAATAGATAGTATCACTTAGTACCCTACATGGACATTCCCCAATCAGGTCCTTGACAAGCTGAAAGGCTCAGTGCCTTATGAACTATGTCCTGATTATCCTGAGTGTGGGCTTGCTGTTATCCTAGGAAACATGTCATAAGTGTTCCCAGGTCTTCGCTTTTTTTTTTTTCATTATCTGTTTACTCTTTACTTACTTTGGGTGTGTGTGTGCATACTGAGCTCAACTGTGGACGTCAGAGCACAACTTATGAGAGTCAGGCTCTGGAGACGGAGTGCAGGCCGTCAGGCAGCAACAAGCACTTGCACCCTCTGAGCCATCTCACCGTCCTTGTCCCTCAGTCTTTTTTAAATTTTATTTTTTTGAGTCTAGATCTCACTGTGTAGTCCTGTCTAGCTGGAACTCACTATGTAGTTCTAGGCTGGCCTAGAACTCACAGTGACCTTATCTCTGGAGGTGTAGAGAGTGAGATGGCATTTCAGTGTTAAGTTTTATAAAACAGAAAAAACTGTTATGTAGAAGAATGTTCTCACTTTATGCCAAACTACTACAAAAAATTAGCAATTTTCTACCCTAATCTCCAAATAGCTTCAGACTACCATTCCAAAACAATGACATCCCACCATTGGTGGCACAGTAGCTCACAATGAGAGCCCCACTCAGAGCGTACTCCACAGAGGCTGGTGACGTGGGGATGGCATGCCTGATGCATTTCTTTGTTGGAGAATTCTGGATTCACAGAAGTTGGACACTCTTTACTTGAGCCTTTCTCTGTGCCCAGTGTTTTCAGTTTCATTCTGTAGTGGGAACTGCTTATCAGAGTTCTCCTCTGATGGGCTTTTCCTCTTGCACAGTGCTGGTTTGTTCTGGGAAATAGCTACTTTGAAGTCCATCTGGACTTGGTGCATTGTGTGGCACAAGCGTTTTCCAGGGCTAAATTGCTGTTTCTTTGGTCCTTTGTTTCCATTTCATGAACTGAAGGACTTGGGTTTCTCCGATGGGCTCTGAGATATGCTCCTGAGTAGGTCCTTCAGCTGGGCTCAGGCCAGCATCTCTGACTAAGGGGGCTTATATTTAGAAGGTCTTTGTTGAATCATGCTGTTACTTTATTTCAAGTGGGCCCTTTCTTCAGTGGATGGCCTTTTAAGGGTGTGTGGGAGGAGAGGGATTCATTTGCCCAGAGGCTTGCAGCCAGCCATTGTGTATAGCAGTATTCTAGTGCATGGTATGTGTTTGCTCCTGGCCTGAGGACTGAACCTCAGAAGCAGTGTGAGTTCTAAATATTTTCTTTGGGAGTGCTTGACTTGGTCCTTGATAATTACTTTTCCAGACTGGAACAGTCAGGAGTTCTAAGAATCAATTGGTATCTTGATAAAAAAGAGGTAGAATGGTACCTTGTGCAGCAGACTTGTGATTAATTTGTACCTTCTAATAAAGTACTGCCCAGGTCCTTTGACTTGTGGAGGATCAAAGAGGAGGAGCACCTAGTAAGATATTGGTGAAGGTATTGCTGGGTGTGGTGGCACACGCCTTTAATCCCAGCATTCAGGAGGCCGAGGCTAGCAGATATCTGAATTACTAGTTCCAAGACTGCCAGGGATACACAGAGAAACCTCGATACATTCAAAAAACCAAAAATAAAAAAATTAAAAAAATAAAGAAAAGGAAGAAAGAAGAAAATGTCCTTGCTAAACATCTCTGAGGCAGCTTTTCATTTCTTTGTAGTGGTGAGCATGAAACCTAGCAGAGGCTCTTTGTGTGCAGCCAGCACTCCACTGTGCTTGCCCATCTCTAGACAATAGATTTGTGTGTGACAGACAGTGTTAGAGGTACGATGATTCGTGTGTGTGTGTGTGTGTATACACCTGCAGGCACCTATGGAGGCCGGAAGTTGTAGGTGTAAGCCATCTGATGTGAGTGAGGGCTGTGAACTGAATCAGGGTCCTTTGCAAGAGAAATACTTGCTCTTAACCCTCAGCTGCTGGGTCACCTCTTGAACGCCATGTTTTTTTGTTTTTGTTTTTAATTAGAAGGGGTAATAAGTACTTTTATTCTTTGCTGTGACTAGCAACCACTTATTTGTATATGAGAAGTAACAGGCTGAGAGCCTGGTGTCATACACTTGTAATCCTAGCACTTAGAGGATAGAAAGCAGGATGACCATGAGTCCACAGTCAGTCTGGACTGCATAGTGAACTCTAGACCAGCCTGGGCTACATAGCAAGTCTCTGTCTCAAAAAAACAACGGTTTGGGACTGGAGAGATTGCTTAATGGTTAAGAGCATGGGCTGTTTTTTCAGAGGATCTGGGTTCAGTTCCCAACCCCCATATGGTAGCTCACAACTATCTGTAACTTTAGACTCAGATTACCTGATACTATCTTCTGACATCCATAGGCACCAACCACACAAATGGTCCATGGGCATACAGGCAGGCATAGTACCCAAATACATAATAATGATGATAAAAAATTAAAACCCCAAACAAAGGGCTAGGGAATGTAGTTTATGGTAAAGTGCTTTTCTAGCATGTGACCTGGGTTTGATCTCTGTCACCAACACACACACACACACACACACACACACACACAGAAGAGTCTGTTACTGGAGATATGAAGGTGATGAGTTTCAGGTCATCCTGGGCTTTATAGCAGGACCCTGTCTCACAGAAACAGAAGGAAGTGCTGAATTGTAACTTAGAGGTAGAGCGTTTTGCCTAGTGTGCCTGGGGCTCTGGGTTTAATGTTGTTCACAAACAACTCAAAATTAATTTGTTATTTGAGGTTCATATTGATTTGTGATTTTGAGTCATTTGATTTATTGAAATTGTGATGATATAAACAGATTAGTAGGTTAAGCCCCCCGCCCCCCCCCCAGGCAGGGTTTCTCTTTGTAGTCCTGGATGTCCTTGCTCTGTCGATCAGGCTAACTTCAAACTCACAGAGATCCTCCTGCCTCTTCCTCCCAAGTGCAAGGATTAAAAGTATGTGCCAACATGCCCGACTAATTTTTTACTAAATGACTAATTCTAGATTTCTCAAATTACTGTCAGAATCGATAGCAGACTATAAATACAGTTTAGTTCTGAACTCATAGATTTACCTTCTCTCAGCTTTCTAGTTCCTTCTAACGACCCTCTAGTTCCATAGTGTTCAAAAAAAAAAAAGCAGCTTTGACAGATGGTGCAGGGAAGGAGAAGCTGCACTGTTTGTCTTTCATACTGCGTTCTCGCAGCCGCAGAGAATCAGCACTCTGCTCTTTGTGGCCTGCTGAGGCCCCTGTTTTAAGTCCTGGAGCATCCCTGGATCAACAGTGTGTGCCAAATGCATTTAACTGCCCACCAATTAAATGTTGTTCTCTTTCCTCTCTTGCAGTCTAACCATGCTGCTGCTGCCGCCACACATCCTTGTGCCTTTTACCTCAGTAAACCAACTGAAAGCCCAAGTTCTTGCTTGTCTGATTCAGGAACAGGTTTGGAACTTAAACTATTTTTTACATTTTTCAAGACAGGTCTCAACTATGTAGACCTAGCTGTCCTGGAACTCAAATATATGATTAGTCTAACCTCAAACTTAGAGATTCTCCTGCCCTCTATGTGCTGGGATTAAAGGTGTTCCAGCACATGGCCTGGAACTTAAATTCAAAAGAAAAATTCTAATCTTTATTCTGATTTATGTATATGAGTGTTTTGCTGACATGTGTGACTGTATACCATGTCCATGCCTGGTGCCATGGAAAGCCAGAAGAGGATGTTAGATTCTCTGAAGCTGGAATGACAGATGTGAGCTACCATGTGGGTGCTGGGAATTGGACCTGGGTCCTCTGGAAGAGCAACAAATGCTCTTACTACCAAGCTATCCCTCTAGCCCTCTGAACTTACAGAGTTTATTTTACCCACAGTTTGCTTTCATTTTCCACTGTGGTATGAGAAGTGTGTGCAGTATTTGACTTCACCAAAAGCACCGTGTGTTTCTCTCCACTGTTTCAACAACTTTCCCGTTTGTGTTAAATTATACAACGATGGAATGAAGCAGTGTACTCACAGAGGCTCTAGATAGCTGCAGAAACCATCTACAGCAATGGGGTGAGGGAGTGCACCCACAGAGACTCTAGACAGCTACAGAAACCATCGCAGACGTTTTCTGTTGTCCACAGGATTCAGCGAGTTCAAACTTTCTGCAAGCCATGGCCAGCTCTTCTGTCTTCTGGCTTTATGTACTGGCTCCCCTATTTTAGCACCTTTATCTACATGGCACATTCACTTGCCAGTTTGAATTAGCTTTGCTTGAACAGAAACTGGACTCCAGCCGTCTCTTCCTGTTCCCACTGCTCCCACAGCTGTGGCACTCCCTTTCCGCCTCCTTCTGACCTGCCTCCCTGCTGCCAGTCTACCCTTCAGTTTGTTGGCTGCCAGCACTCCCATTTCCTCAGAATGACAGCCAGCATCCTTATGGAACCCCACAAGGCTCAGCAGGATGGAGCTGATTGCCTTTCCTCTGTGATAAGACTCCGCCCACTTTTGCCTGAGGTTCATTTGAAGACTTTGTCTGACCACCTTCTCCACTCAAATATTTCCTACTGATGGGAGAAACTCTCCTAGTAGTTACTTTCTCAGTGAACCAGCCTTTACCATCCTTTGAAAATAGTTCCTGCCCCCAGAACCCCACCTTTTATGTGAACCTCTTTTCTTTTTGAAAAGATCCCATGTATCCCAGATTGGCCCAGTTGCTGTTTAACTGATGAAAAGTTGGACTCCTGTTCCTCTGCCTCTCCCAGTGTTGGGATTATGGCAGTGTCAGCATGTTTTATGCTACTCCAGTGCCGAACTCAGGGCTTCATGCATGCTAGGCAAGCACTCTCCCAGCTGATCTACATCCTTAGCCCTACTCCTCTGTGTATGTATGTGTGTGTGCATATTTGCATACATGCATGTTCTTGCATGTGGGGGTATACAAGCACATGCCCGTGCATGCTTGTTGAGGCCAGAGATCAACCTAGGGTATTGTTTGTTAGGAGTTATCTATATTTTTTTGAGACAGAGTCTTACTATATAGCCCTGGCTAGCCTAGAACTCACTATGTAGATCAGGCTATCTTCAGACTTAGGGTCACCCTCCTGCCTTCTAAATGCTAGAATTACAGATATATGCCATTGTACACAGATTTAATGGAGAATTTGAACTCTTGACATTGATTACATGGAAGTCTGTATTTGTAAATAACATTTTCTTTAAATTACATTTTTAGCTATTACTAATTCATTTTGGTTTATATTTTGAAGCAAATTTTTACTATATTTATTTATCTATCTATCTATCTATCTATTTATTTATTTGGGCTAGGCGGCAAGAACATACCATTGTGTGTGTGAAGTTCCCTCCTTCTATTATATGAATCCTGGGGGCCAGAACTCAGGTCATCAGATTTGGAAGCAAGAATCTTTAACCTGAGCCCTCTCACTGACCCGTGATTGAACTGTCTGTGTAGAACCTTTCCTCACTCCTTTTTGTTCTCTGTGTGCACATCAGGGCTGACTTACTGGAAGCTGGAGGAGAAGGACTTGTACCACTCTTTGCCTGACACTTTGGAGAAGACGTTTGCACCGTCCTCCCTAGACAGACCACTGAGCCAGGTAATGCAGAGTACTGCGTGTGTTCTTTTGTTTTATGATTGTAATAACTTGGTCATCATAGATTTTTTTTTTCTGTTTTTTGCATTGTTTCAGTTTCCAAAATGCTGGGGAAAGCATAGGCTTGAGAGTCAGATCGACTTTTCAACTATATCTCACCTAATTTCCTGCATAATCTCCAAAAGGTTACTTTAAAGTGGAATTAAGGGGGCTGGAGAGATGGCTCATTGGTTAAGAGCATTTCCTGCTCTTCCAAAGGTCCTGAGTTCAATTCCCGGCAACCACATGGTGGCTCACAACCATCTGTAATGAGGTCTGGTGCCCTCTTTTGGCCTGCAGACATACACAAAGACAGAATATTGTATACATAATAAGTAAATAAATATTTTAAAAAAATAAAGTGGAATTAAGCTAGGGGTGGTAGTACATTTTCTTAATTTCTTTTTTGTTTTTCTTTTTTAACACAGGGTTTCTCTGTAGCTTTTGGAGCCTTGTCCTGGAACTTACTCTGTAGACCAGGCTGGCTTTGAACTCCCAGAGATCCGCCTTTCTCTGCCTCCTGAGTACTGGGATTAAAGGCGTGTGCCATCACTGCCTGGCTCATTTCCTTAATCTTCGTACTAAGTATGCTGAGGCAGGTGGATCATTGTGAGTTGGAGGCCAGCTTGGGGAACATAGTGAGACCCTAGTTCAAGACAGCAGAACAAACAACAATCAAAAATAAAGGCTGGGGAAAGAACTCGGTCAACATGGAGTTTGTCTTACCGTCACAGCCCCTGACTTTAATCCCCATGATGTATCTACGAAAAGCCTTGAGTGCTGACACATGCTTTTCTCACTGTTCCGGGCAGCTGGAGCTGGAGCCAGGTAGTTCCTGGGGCTAGATGGTCGGTCAGCTTGTACTAGTTGGGAAGTTCCAGGCCAGTGAGAGAGTGTGTCTCAAAAATAAAGGTGAATGGAGGAAGAGGTTGTCCTGTGGTCTTCATATAGATAGGCAATTTTGTGTGAACACACAGACGCACAACATGGACAGACATAGACACACAGATATTAAACACTAACAGGTAAAAATGCTGAGCTGATGTTTTTGAAATTAAATGCTTCTTGCCTACTGTTTCTTTTCTTTTTTTTCCCCTCTGTATGTGTAGTAGGTTATTGGCAATTAATTTCTTCCCTTTCCCTTTCTCCTAGGCCTGACTGTGATTTCTGTCCTTTCAAAACTCCCACTTGATGCATTTATAACACAATTATGAAGCCTTTAACTGACAGTATTTTCTTTAAGAAATATAAATATTTTGTGTCTTTTACTTTTTTTTAAGACAAGGTTTCAGGTAGTCCCACCTGACCTTCAACTCATTGTGTAGCTGAAAGTGACTTTGAACTCTTGATCTTTTTGCCTTGCTGTCCCCAGGTCTGGGATCCTAGGTGTATACTGTCCTCCCAGGCCATCTTTCTCTTACATGCTCTGATCAAGTAAGGAGAGTGCACTGGGGAAATGAAAGATTTATAAGCAGAGGCACTGGGGATACGGATGAGACGTGGAGCTCTTAATGTGTAGTGCCCTTGAATTGATCCCCAGCACCACAAAACAAAGACTCCCCCAAAATAAAACAGGGAAATACAAGAAAGAAGTAAACACACACGCACACGCACACGCACACACACATACACGAAAGTGAGAGATAAAATAAAAAATAAGTTAGAAAAACCTCGTGTGGCAATAAGGTAGAGACAGGTGGATTGCTGGAAGCTCAGTGACTGCTAGTCTAGCCTGCTTGACAGAACTGTAGCACAGTGAGAGACCTTGTCTCAAACAAAAGGGAGAAGATGCTTAAGGAATGACACCAGCGTTTACCTCTGATTTATACACATACATGAACACACAAGTAATGATTTCTGGTAAATTGTGTATATTAGTGTATGCTTATAGTACTAGCTAGGTGCTTGGGAGGCTACAGTGGGAAGATCACATAGTCCAAGAGTTTAAGACCAGCTTAGGCAACAGAGGGACCTTGTCCAAACCCCCAACAAGAAAATCCATGGTGCCTTTGTGGGATTTAGTAGGGTCTAAGTTTAAAATATGTGGTGGTTGGGAAGATAGCTCAGCAAGTAAAGGTACCTGCCACTAAGCCTTACAGCCTGAATTCAACTCTTCAGGCTGCCGTGGCACATGTCACGTGTACACATAAGATCATACATAAATGTAATACAAATTTTAAAGTTGTTTTAAATACCTGTGTGTGTGTGTGTGTGTGTGTGTGTGTGTAATAGAGAGTGTGTGAGTGTGCCTGTATTTGTGTCTGTACTGTGTGGTTCTGGGAGCCTGTGGAAGCCAGAAAAAGGTATTTGATTCCTTGGGATTTGAGTTAAGGCTGATTGTGAACCACTATGTGGTTCTGGGAACTGCAGCCAGGTTGTCTTCAAGAACAAGCGCTTTTACCTGCTCAACTATCTTGCCAGCCTCTGTTCTTGTTTTCTCTTATGTAGTCTACTCTTGAATCCTGATCTTCCTGTTCCCACTGTCCCTGTTCTGTTCTGGGGTTATAGGTATTGTTCAGCTAAAACTTGGTGTTTTTTAAAATACAGTATTTTGGGCTGGAGAGATGGCTCAGAGTACTGGCTGCTCTTCCAGAAGACCCTATAGAACAAATAATAAAAGCCCAATGACAAAAATTATGGTTCAACCCGAAATGGCTTAGTTTGCTGTCGCCCAGCCTTGGTAGAGGTAAGACTTCTAGTGGCTTGCCTGTCTTGCTTTTCTGGTTTTTGGGTTGAATTCCAATTCCTGTCTCTGGGCTTTTATTATTCGTGCTACAGGACCCAGGTACAATTTTCAGCATCTGTGTGTCAGCTTATAACTGTGTAACTCCAGTTCCAGGGGATCTGATGTTGAATTTTGGCCTTCTCAGGACCACCAAGGATGCCACTGGTAGCCAGTCATATATGCAAGCAAAACACCGATACACATTAGGGAAAAAAAAAATAAAGGAAAGAAAGCCCACACACAATAGGGTTCTGTAAGACTGGCCAGTGCACTTCACTGCTGAACCATGTCTCCAGCTCTCAAACACTGGTTCTTTTGAGTAGGGAGACAGAATATTAGTCAGTTTTCCATTGTTGTGAGAGAATCTATCAAAAAGGACAAGAGACTTATTCATGTTTCAGTTCATTGTTATTTCAAATTGCTTTTGGGTCTGTGGTGAGGCCAAAGATCATGGACAGACAGAGAAAGACGGCCATGAAGTAAAGAAAAAGAGGAAAGTACCAGAGTTGTAGTATCTTTGAGGGACATGTCCCTGGTGACCTAACTTCCTTCTACTAGGCTCCATCTTTTCAAGGATCCAGTGTTTTCTGATGTCACTGTCAGCACATGAGTCTTTGAGGGAAAGTGAGGCTCCAGACCATGTCAAGGACCGCCGAGGATTGTATTTGTGGACTGCTAACCAGGTCTCAATGTCCTCTTAGTCCTTATTGTTAGGAGATAAGCAAGTTTCCATTCTGAAGGAGGCATCACCGGAAAGGTCTTCAGAGCTGATATTATTAATTCAAAAGTCTAGATTTTCAGTCTATTTAAAAATCTTCCACAGATTTTTTTAAGGTGTTGATCTTGATATCAGATTTTTTCATTGTTAATAATACCGTTTAAATTATTTTGCTTCGTATCTTTAAGTTTTGTGCCAGTAATGAGATGAAGTGACTATCACTGTTCTATTCTAGAAAACAAAGTGAAAGCAAAGCAGTTTCTTGATGGGGACCTCACCCTCGCTTCCAGTCCCAGTCACCTGATGAGTGACAGTAGGATGCTCTCTTCAGCCTCACTGCCCCTCAAAGCTAAGGCCCACTTTCCTGATAGCCAGCAACCCAGCCTGATCACCAAGGCTTCAACCTGATGCTTGTCCATCTTACTTCCAGGTTCTGACTCTGGATCCAACCATACATATGAAGCCAAAGGAGAAGGCTGCGGGGATTCAGCCCCATGGCTTTTTGAGTGCTCTTGATGAGAGAATATCCTTTTCTCCAGACTCTGTTCTGGAGCCAAGCCTGTGCAGTCACTCTGACAGTGACTTATTTTCACAAGCAAGTCATAACGCTTCTCAGGTATCTGGGTTCCCCAAATATCCTTCAACTACGAAAACGTCACCTGTGGACACTTGGAAAAGCCATGCATTCCACAGTGAAAGTAGGACGAGTTCCACGGTCCCTTCACTCTGCACCATCACTAGCAACGATATCTCAGTCAGAACTGTAGACGAAGAAAACACTGTCACAGTGGCTTCTGCCTCAGTCAGTCAGTCCCAGCTTCCAGGTACAGCCAACAGTGTCCCAGAATGCATTTCATTGACTTCCCTGGAAGATCCTGTGATGTTGTCTAAGTATGTATTTCAGCAACTGACTTATACTGCTAATGTTAATAGACTTGTGATATCTGATTGAATGATGAAAATGGTTTTTATTGGACCACAGTAAAATATAAAATCTTAATGAAATATAACCAATGTGTGTTTTTCACTATTGACAGCTATGTTGAAGTGAAAGATATTGATAAAGGTTGGGTATGGTGGCACATGCTTGTAATCCCAGTACTTTTGAGATAGAGGCAGGAGGACCTCTATGAGTTCAAGGCCAGCCTGGTCTACAGAGTGAGTTTCAGGCCAGTCAAGGCTATACAGTGAGACCCTGTCTTAAAATCAGAAGCAAAGGTGCTGACAAAGGCATCCCTTAAATGGGAGCTAAGCAGAATGCTTCTTTGTCTAGAGCATATGGGACATCTGTTGTGTTTTCCAGGGTGTATGGAGGAACAGGTTGAACTCTGGCTATGAGAATGACTGTGGTGTGTTTGGTAGCTACTTTTCTCATCCCTGTGACCAAACACCTGGCAAAAGCATCTTAAGGAAGGAAGGGTTTGTTTTGGCTGACAGTTTGAGGGATACAGTCCAGCACAGTGAGAAGGATGGTGGCGGGTGACAGACACGAGACTGCGTGACGCCATATCTGCAATCGAGGCACAGAGAGAAGACAGTGGTGCTCAGCTTACTTTATCCCCTTTGTCCTTTTTCTTTAGTCTGGGACCCCAGCCCATGGACATTCAGAGTGGGTCGGTTAAACCTCTCTGGAAACACCCTAACAGACATACCTTGTGTCTCTTAGGTGACTTCTGTCAAGTTGCCAGTGAAGATTAACTGCCCCAGGTCCATCCCTTTCAGTTAGCCCTAAAACATGCGGCTTGACTGTCTTTCCTTAGAGCGTCTTCCCTCTCCCCGACAGAATCCGGCAGAACCTCAAGGAGAAGCATGCACGACACATAGCGGATCTTCGAGCTTACTATGAATCAGAGATAAATAGTTTGAAACAGAAACTGGAGGCAAAAGACACTTCTGCCGTTGAAGAGTGGAAGAAGAAAAATGAAATTCTTGTAGACAGGTAAGGCTACCATGGAGTTAGTGTTTCTCCACCTTGGGTAGATTGCTTCCACAAAGTATATCATGGTGTGGTATAAAATGCTGTGAAAAATGCGTGCTTTGTATCTGAGAATTTACCCCACAGATGTGTAAACTAGGACGTGTCTGGAGACACGGGTTAGTCTTAAAGATTTGACCCAACTTGTTATTCTCTAGTAACTGACACAAGCCATGCCTTTTGTGTGGATTAAGTTCTGAAGGGAGAATCGTTTGTGGATCTTTACCACTATGGAGTTGTGGGAGAAGTAAGAATCCTGGGATGTGGGCTGGTAAGATAGCTTAACAGGAAGCACACTTCCCACCAAGCCTGGTGAGCCCAGCTTCATCCCTGGTACTCACATGATGGAGGGGGAACTGACCTTAAAAGTTGTCCTCTGACCTCTACACACACTATCCACTCACATACACACTAGGAATATACATACAAAATTAGAATTCTAGCCAGGCAGTGGTACATGCCTTTAATCCCACAACTCAGGAGGTAGAGGCAGGCGGACCTCTGTGAGTTTGGGGCCAGCCTGGTCTACAAAGTGAGTTCCAGCACAGCCAAGGCTACACAGAGAAACCCTGTGTGGGGGGTTGGGGGGAGTGGGGAAGATGAAGAATTCTGGGACTTAGGGTGCTGGGAGTGTAACCCATTTGTAGAGTATTGGGCTTAGTGTCATGAGACCTTGGGTTTTAACCCTAGCTTTATAACGAAAAAGGAAGGAAGGAAGGGAGGGAGGGAGGGAGGGAGGGAGGGAGGGAGGGAGGGAGGGAGGAAGGGAATGCGGCAACTTTTGTGTGTGGTAGAGTTGGTGAGGTGAGGAGGCGGAGAGGGGGCAGACAAGGGATGGGTAAAGACTATACCATATACATGTATGGTACAGTCAAAGAACAAATTTAAAACCATCTGAAAAGATGCATACCGCTCTTCCAGAGGTCCTGAGTTCAGTTCCCAGCACTGATATCAGGTGGCTCACAGCTGCCTTTAATTCTAGCTCCAGGGGATAATGGTATGGGGAGCCCACTAGAGATAACCACTTGGACACAGTATAGCCAGTTGAAAGTCTTTATTCCAGCTGGCTGGAACCACATCCAAAGTGTTCATAGACCTAGGTGAGGCCCCAAGTGTCCAGAACATGGTTTTTAAGGGCAGAGACCTCATCTAGGAATCTCTTTTGGCAGCTGCAAGAATAGGCAGTTTGAAGCAAGCAGTTTTTGCTTTTTTGTTTTGTTTTGTTTGTTTGTTTTTCAAGACAGGGTTTCTCTGGATCCTGTCCTGGAACTAGCTCTGTAGACCAGGCTGACCTCAAACTCACAAGAGATCCGCCTGCTTGAGTGCAGTCCTGAGTGCTGGGATTTGTGGTTTTTGTTTTTTTGGTTTTTTGTTTGTTTGTTTGGTTTGGTTTTTTTGAGACAGGGGATCTCTAGCTTTGGAGCCTACCCTGGAAGTAGCTTTTGTGGCTTCGAACTCACAGAGCTCTGCTGCCCGAGTGCTGGGAATAAAGGCGTGTGTGCCACCACCGCCCGATCTGAGTGCTGACATTAAAGGCATGTGCCACTGCTGTCTGGCGAAGCAGAAACTAACATAAGCAATTAGCTGAAGGAGGTTCCAGACAAACAAGCAGTTTTAACAGAAGCTAAGATAAGTTAGCTAGTACATCCTGACACAGAGATGGGTAGTTTTCCATGGGATTCTAATTAAACCTGGAAACAGTCTCTGGAAGAATATAAGATGGAGGAACTTCTGTACTGTCTTCCCCCTTCACAATCTGGTGCCTGCTTATGGACTGTAGATATCTGTGGATTTGTGTGACTCTCCCTCTCTCTCTCTCTCTCTCTCTCTCTCTCTCCCTCCCTCTCTCTCTCTCTCTCTCTCTCTCCCTCCCCCTCTCTCTCACACACACGCACACAGACACACACACACACACACAGATACACACACACACACATTTTAAAAGAAAGACTATGGGGGCTGGAGAGATGGCTCAGTGGTTAAGAGCATTGCCTGCTCTTCCAAAGGTCCTGAGTTCAATTCCCAGCAACCACATGGTGACTCACAACCATCTGTGAGGTCTGGTGCCCTCTTCTGGCCTTCAGGCATACACGCAGAAAGAATATTGTATATATAATAAATAAAATAAATAAATATATAAAAAAAGAAAGATTATGAGACTGAATGTAAAGTGTTTAATGTAGACCTGGCATGTAAATCAGGTTAACCTGTTTTTTGTAATTTGGTTTTTATCATTAAACACTGAGTCAGATAGTAGCTGAATTTTGTGGACCTTGTTGAGGTCTACGATAACTTGCAAAGGAATTCTTTATAGGAATCGTAACTTCGGGGCTGGAGAGATGGCTCAGCAGTTAAGAGCATATATTTCTCTTCCAGAAGGATCCAAGTTCACTTCCCAGCACCCATGACAGGTAACAGATAACTGCCTGTAACTCTAGCTCCTGAGGATTTCCTACCTCTGGTCTTTGATGGTATCTACACACAGACACACATAGAAACACACAGACACACACACACACATATACATATGATTAAAAAAAATAAATCGTTGTTCTGGAGATGGCTTAGCATTTAAGAGCACTTTTAGGGATCTCACAGCAGCTAGTCACTGTCTGTAATTCTATGTAATTCTAGTCTCAGGAGAGCCAGTGCCCTCCCAAGCACTACAGTACTTATGTGGTGAACAGATGCTCATGCAGGCAAAATACCCACACACAAAAATAAAATCTCAGAAGAGTTTAGCTAAAAAAAAAAACAAAACAAACAAACATTGGACATGGTGTTGTAAACTTTTAATTGTAGCATGCGGGGAGGCTAAGACAGGCAGATCTCTGACTTTGAGGCCAGCCTGGTCTATAAAATGAGTTCCAAAACAACCAGGGTACACAGAGAAATTGTGTCTCAAAAAAACTGAGAAAAAAAAATAGTGTTTCAGGGCTGGGGAGATGGTTCAGTTGGCAAAGCACTTCAATTGTAAGTGTGAGGACATGGGATTGATCCCATGGCCTGTGTGAAAAAGAGCTGGGCACTTGTAATTCTAGTACCATGAAGTTGGAGACAGAAGGATTCCAGGGCTCATTGGCTAGCCTGTCTAGCCGAATTGGTGAGCTCCAGGCCAAAGATACCATTTCTCAGAGGAGGTGGGTATTGTTCCTACATATAACAGCTGATCCCTCGAACTTCTACACACATGTGTACATTTAATAAAAAGAACAATGTGTTAATGTTGAGTTTGAAACAGCTCAGAAAGATGCTGTGCCCTGACTCCAAATAGCCCAGCTCTTTATATCCTGGACACGTGTGTGTTCAGACAGATTTTCCCATGCTAACATCAAGCTATTTTGTACAGTTTTCTCTATTTTAAAAATATAAAATTTAAATATCAAATTGTGTATAAGAAATTCACTGTTTTAAGTGTGCAGTTCAGTAGCTGAAATATATTAACAATATTGTGTATCCATCAAGCATTGTCCATCTTCAGAACCATTTCCTCTTGTAAAGCAAACTCTGGTAAAGGTGCCTGCTGCCAAGCCTGGCAACCTGAGTTCTATTCCTGGAACCCACATGGTGGAGGGAGAGAAGAGGAGATTTTTGCAAGTTGTCTTTACACACACACCAAACAAACAAACAAGCAAACACATGGGAATAAAACTAACTCCTGAAATTCTGGTCTGGAGCTATAGATCAGTTGGTAGATGGCTTTGCCTAACATGTGAAATGCTGGGTTCAGTTCCCGGTAGGCACTTCCCACTCAGTGTCAATAGATAAATATTGGGAAAAGAATAATGAAAAACAAAGAACAATTAAGAACTGCAGCCCGGTTCTCATTAGATCCTTATCCCCATCCCACCTCCTTTCCCTTGGCATTGGTTACCTTTGTCCTGTTTGTCTCCATGAATTTGAACAAATACTCTGCAAGTGAAGTCACAGTATTTATCTTTCTTTTTCTTTTCCTTCTTTTGGTGCTGGGAATGGAACCCAGGCTCTTGCAGAGACTAGGGATATGTGTTTTGTTACTGACATGTAGCACATCCTCAAGACTGGTCCATGGTATTAGAATTTCCTTTTTGTTGGTGGTTGTGGCACACACCTTTAATCCCAGCATTCAGGAGGCAGAGGCAGGCGGATCTCTGTGAGTGTGGTCTACACGAGCTAGTTTCAGGACAACTAGGGCTGTTACAGAGAAACCCTGTCCCAAAAAACCAGAAAAACAAAAACCAACAAAAAAAGGAGAAATTATTTTGTTTTCTAGCTGATTCTAAATTTGCTTTTTTTTTAGATGTGGCCAGCTGGACAGTGCATTGAATGAAGCTACTAGTCGTATGCGAACACTTGAGAATAAGAATAATTTGCTAGAAATAGAAGTGGTAAGTATTGTTTTATGTGACTGGTTCTAGTGTCATAATGTCTAAAAGGTGTGTATCATCACAACTTTTAATTTTGTTTACTGGATGTATAGCTAGGTGTGCAGAAGCTTTTTTAAAAAAGTGTGTAGCTCCAGCTTTCCTAGAACTCGCTGTGTAGACCAGGCTGTCCTTGAACTTACAGAGGCCCACCTGCTTCTGCCTTCCAAGTGTTAGGATCAAAGGTGTGCACTACTATGCCTGACTTAAACTTTTATACTTTTATGTTATTTTTCTCTTTCTCTCTTTCTTTCTTTCTTTCTTTCTTTTTCCGTTTTCTTGAGACAGGATTTCTCTGTGTGTAGTCCTAGCTGTCCAAGAACTTATTCACTAGACCAGGTTGGCTTTGAATTCACAGAAATCTGTCTTCCTCTGCCTCCCAAGTGCTAGGATTAAAGGCGTGTGCCACACCACCCAGCAATAAGTTTTACTCTTTTTTTTTATTCTTTATATATTACCTTATAAGCAAAATTTTGGTGGAAAATACCTGTTTTGTTCTATGCATTGCCTCTGCTTTAATGCCTAGCCCCCTTCTGGTCCTAACCAAGCTAGGCCAGTGTCTAATAACTGAGTCATTTTGTTGGCTTCATCTAAATGATAAACTCTTCCATGAAGTTAGGGACTAGTATTTTGGTTATCTTACTTTCTTGCTTTGTTTAGAGATGGGGTCTTGCTATGTTCTAGCTCAGGGTGGTCTTGGACTTGTGCATAAGCAGCCTTTGCAGTTCAGCCTTCTAATTAGCTAGACTGCAGGCAAGAGGCTTTGCGCCCAGCTTTCATCTTACATTTTGGCATCCTGTGGCCTGGCATCTATCTGGTATTTCAGAAATCACCATTGAATGAATGTTAACACATGAGGTACATTTTTAATTTTGTGTTTTCATAGAGTATAGATAATCCCCAGCCCTCAGCAAATGAATATTGAACAGTGCATTCTAGTCACAGTTTCAGAATTCCTCTGATGTTGTAGTTATTTTTTTCTTCATTAGGTTGATCCACAGACAGTGCTGTCTATGCAAGTCCTAGAACCCTTGTACCCTATGTGCTTGTTTTCTGTCTCCACCTTTGGGTAATCTCATGGAGTAGTTCCGTTAGCGTGGTCCTCTCTAGTCTCTGTCTCAGGATACAACAGGATGTCAAGTAGCTTATTTCCATTTGTATGCGGGTTTTTATTTTAATGTCCATAATTGATCAGCTAATACGGAGGCACTGTTTTCACTTGGACTGATGTATCTCTGTCTTTACTGTGTAGAATGATTTGAGAGAACGCTTCAGTGCAGCCAGCAGTGCCTCCAAAATTTTGCAGGAACGAATTGAGGAAATGAGAACAAGCAGTAAAGAAAAAGATAACACCATCATTCGGCTAAAGTGTCGGCTGCACGATCTGGAAGAAGCGTTTGAGAATGCTTACAAACTCTCAGATGACAAAGAAGCTAGGCTGAAACAAGAAAACAAAATGTTTCAGGATGTAAGTACCCAGTGACTGTGGCTGCTGCCTGAGTCCTCTGACCAAAGCAGCTTGAAGAGACAGGGTTGATTTTCTTCAGCTCCAGAGGGACAGTCCTCTGTCATGGGAAAGCGTGGCTCCTGGCAGGAGAGGTGTGGTGGCAGGAATAGGAGGCTGCGTGGTCACATTACATCCACATACAAGAAGCAGAGTGAGTAGAAAGTTCTTTCAGACCATAAAACCTCAAGGCCCAGCCCTTGTGACTCGTTTCCTCTAGGAAGTCTCCACAACCTTCCCAAACCAAGTGTTCAAACGGCAGCCTGTGGGGGCCATTTCACATCCCATCTACAGCTGGCCAAAAGTAACGTCTGAAGCTAGTGTACCCTTGAAGCTGCGGTGACTCTCTAGGTACATTTTGGCCTAAACTGCCTGTATCTCCGCATACCCTCATGGTGGCAGCGGTCCCTGTCAGAGCTGTAGAAAGATGGCTGAACTCCTTCACTTCTCTTTTCTCGTGTGTCACCGTTTGAGTTGTCATAACACCTGTGGCTGACAGGGTAAAATGATACAATCCAGATTCAGGACAGGGCTTTTTTGAGACAGGGGCTTGCCATATTGCCCACACTGGTCTTGAACTTGTGATTCCCTTGTCCCAGTCTCTTGTGTGCTGTAGTTATAGGTGTTCACTCCCATGCCTGGCTATTTGTTACTGTTTTTGTGTTGCCAGCCCCCTCCCTACATTCCATTCTGCAGTTATAGTCTAGAACCTAATGGTATCATTGTTTGTGTGTGTGTGCTCTCTGTGGTGCTTCATTATTATCCATTTCCCATTCCCTGCCCCGGGTGCTAGGGTGGAGTCTAGAACACCGTTCAAGGTATGCTACCAATAGAGCTGCGTCCATGGTCCTTTAGAGACAGATTGCTTTTTTGTTTGCTTTGTTTCAAGACAGGGTTTCTCTGTGTAGTCCTGGCTGTTCCAGAACTTGCCCTGTAGACCAGGCTGACCTTGAACTCAGAGATTAGCCTTCTGAGTTGTGTCTGCCTCCTGAGTGCTGGGATTAAAGGCATGTGGCATGTGTGACTACTTCCCAGTTCAGTTTGATTTTTAATTTTTTTTTATTTTATGTGCTTTGGTATTTACCTGCATATATTGTGTGAGGTATATATTGTGGAACTGGAGTTACAGTTATGAGCTGTCATGTGGTTGCTGGGAATTGAACTCAGGACTGTTGGAAGAGCAGGCAATGCTCTTAACCGCTGAGCCCTCTGTTTTACCTTTCGCTGGAATAGCAACCAGTGCTCTTAACCTCTGAGCCATCTCTCCAGCACTGTTTGATTTTTTTTTTTTTTTAAACAGGATTTCACTGTAACTATCAAGCCTATCCTGGACCTAGCTCTTGTAAACCAGGCTGGCCTCAAACTCGCGGAGATCCTCTTGCCTCTGCCTCCCGAGTGCTGGGATTAAAACCGTGTGGCAACCACTACCTGGTGATTTTTTTAAAAACTTTATTATGTGTGTGTATGTATGGTGTGTGTGTGTGTGTGTGTGTGTGTGTGTGTGTGTGTGTGTGTGTGAGTGTTGACACATGTATGGAGATCATAAGACAACTTTGAGGAGTTGGTTCTTCCACTGTGGATTCCAAGGATTGAACTCAGGCTTACATATCTTCTGCCCCCTGAGCTGTCTGCTCAACTCAGGTTTAGTTTTTTTTTTAAACATTTATTTATTTTTATTTTGGGTGTATAAGTATTTTGCCTGCATGCATGTGCACTGTGTGCATGCTTAACATATACAGAGGCTGTAAAAGGGCGCCAGCTCTCTTGGAACTGCAGTCAGATGGTTGTAAGCTGCCAGCGAGTGTAGGTGATGAACCCAGATCCTCTAAAAGAGCAGCCAATGTTCTTGCCACTGAGCTATCTTTCTAGACCCAGCTTTGAATTTTTTATCTTGATTTAATTTCACTTAAAATTGGATTAATAAAACATTGATAATGGATTGGGTTTCTAAATTGTATGTTTTTTTAAAATAAGGTTTCTTTTTTCTATTTTATCTTCTATCTATCTATCTATCTATCTATCTATCTATCTATCTATCTATCTATCTATCATCTATCTATGTGTGCATACATGCATGCACATATACCATGGCACATGTGTAGAGGACAACTTGTGGGTCCTGGAAATCAAAAACAGGTTGTCTTGCTTTTAGGCATGGGCCTTCACTTGCCATCTTGCTGGCTCTCTAAGATTGTTATCATTTTTTAATATCTGGATTCTTAAGTTATGGTACTTTAATGATCTGAAGTCACTTTGTCTTGAAGTCTTTCTGGTAGTGTTGATTGTGCTTCTTCCTTTGTTCCTAGACGTTATTGTTGTGGAATTAAATAGAAGTGTTTCTCAAGTCTGAATGAGGACAGGGCTGGTGGTGAGACGCTCAGACACTGTAGTAACTAATTCCACGGCTTCTTGTTGCTCTAATCAGTTTGGTCATGGCCTGTGACTTCTGCCTTCCAGCAATGTTTTTATGGTCAGCTGATCTTTGTCACTGTTTTTCTCCACTTTGGGGGCTTTGGGGTCTTGCCCTGTTGGAAATGATGCAGTTTGGTTCTGTGTTCATTGCGGCACCTAAGAGACTGTTCACTCTGGGAATTTTGTTTTGTAGGTTTGTTTTTCTTTCTGTTCTTTATAGATTTTGTGGGGGGGGGGAGGGGTGGTGGGTGTTTTGAGTCAGAGTTTCTCTGTGTAACAGTCCTCCCTGTCCTGGAACTCTCTGTAGACCAAGCTGGCCTCGAACTCACTGAGTTCTGCCTGCCTCTGCTTCCTGAGTGCTAGGGTTAAAGGCATGTGCCACCACCGCCCAGCATGTTTTTGTTATTTTAAGAACCATTCCTATACTTTCTGCCTAGCAGTGTGAACACATCCTCATCCTGGGCCTTTCTGGGTATCTCATATGGAAGTCTGACTGGCCTCAAATTTGCCATCTTTCTTCTGCAGCCCCTAAATACTGGGATTGCAGGGTGTACCGTCATATATATTTTTAAATAATACTAGGTTTTTTGGCATCCCATTTTTATGTTATACAATAAATGTAGGAAAGTTTAATGAATCTTATGTAATAAATTTTTAAAAGACAATACAAATACATTTTACTATTACATTGAGGGCTCAATTTGCTATTGCTCTGTTTTACTTTTTTTTAAAAAAAATGTTTATTTATTATGTATACAATATTCTGTTTGCATGTATGCCTTCAGGCCAGAAGAGGGCACCAGACTTCATTACAGATGGTTATGAGCCACCATGTGGTTGCTGGGAATTGAACTCAGGACCTTTGGAAGAGCAGGCAATGCTCTTAACCACGGAGCCATCTCTCCAGCCCTCTGTTTTACCTTTAAAATTGTTTCATACTTAAAGTGCCTTCAAACATTTTATCAGGGTTGTCCCATTCCTTTTTTCAGAAGCACTGGTTCTGTGTTGGCCTTCTTTTCCTGACACTGGCAGTTGAAGGGTGCTGTTCCTTTGTTACCTGTTCAGTTCTGTGGTACAACTCTCTGTTTTCTTTGCAGCTTTTAGGAGAGTACGAGTCCCTCGGAAAAGAGCACGGGCGTGTAAAGGTAATGGGCAAAAGACCTGACCTTCCCCATCTCTCCATCTGGAGCAGTTTGAACCAGTCCATGTATTTACCCTTCCTGCGTTAATACCTTTATTTTCAGATCTTCTACTTGGCTGAACCTTTGTGAGATCTGATAATTTGCCAAATATTATTGAATGGCTGTTATATTTGATGTGAGTTGAGATGAAACTAGGTAGAAGAATTTAAATAATATATAAATTCTAATCCCTGTACATATAAAGTTAACATTTTCAAAGCATTATTCTTTAATGGAGTAGTAAGAATTTACCCTTTGTGTCTGAAATGGTAGCTGATGCACTGTTTGCAGTTGTATAGCTGAACTTAATGAAGCACCACAGTGAGTAGGCAGAAAGTGGTTCCAGCCAGTCTGCTGCATGCAGAAGGAGAGTATGAATTTGTAAGGTTAGTGAAAAGACCTGTAAAGTTAGTGAAAAGCTACAGCTGAGACTGGGTTCAGAAATAAACCACAGTGTCTGAAACATCACTTCAGGTTTTTGTTGTGCCATTCTGCTAAGCTGTCAGTCGTGTTCATAGCCAAAATAGATCCATCTTAATGTGGGGTTGCTTCTAGTTAAGCATGCAATGGGTTGCATCTGTTAGAGTCCTGGGTATAGGCCAGTGTTTATGCTATTGCTTCTCCCTTGAGTTGCCTGGATTGGTTCCACACTGATGCCATCCTTGCTGAGTTTCATGGTAATTGGCAGCTGCTTGTTTAGCCTTACATTAGCTTTCTATTGCACACTTTGAAGTAAAAGTTTCCATCTGCATGCTTATCTTCAGTTACGGAAATTTTTTCTCCCCTTAGGATACATTAAACACAACTGAGAACAAATTGCTTGATGCACACACTCAGATTTCTGATTTGAAAAGGTAAATATCCTTTTTATTCTTCTGTGTAAATTCTTACTGCAATAATAAAATATGCTGCTAATTGTCCTTTGTGTTTGTATTGACAAGGAGGAAAATAAACTCTCTCCTGAGGGTGTTTAAAATTGACAGTAAGTTTTATCCTAATCCTTGGACGTGGAAATACATTACATTTTAGCTCAGAAGATACTTAAGTCATTAAAATATATTGGTGGTTTGTAGCACGAATAATAAAAACCCAGAGACAGATATTAGGGTTCAAGCTGAAGATCAGAAAAGCAAAGCAAAAAGCCACTAGAGAGATCTTACCACTATGAAATCTTCAGACTAAAAGAGAATGAGGTCCTGTCTCATCTCGCCTCAAATTACTCTCTAGTGCTGGGATTACAGGCATGCACCACCATCACCACCAGGCCCCTATGGCTAACTATAGTGTGGCTTCTGGGATTAAAGGTGTGTGCCACCATTGCCTGACCTGTATGACTGACTAGTGTGGCTGTTTTGTGTTCTGGTCTTTAGGCAAACTTTATTTATTAAAATACAAATGAAATATCACTACATTCCCCCCTTTTTGTCTAAAATTAATAAAGGCTATAACTAATATAAGAAAAAATATATACAATAAGACCAATAACTATATACAATATATACAGTCAATAAATATATTAACAACGTCTAGTACTTTTGGGTTTGACAAATTCAGAGAAAATGCTCCATATCCATCCTATCTTGTGAGTCCAAAGTCTTGTACTTTCTGTCATAACTTGCTTTCTGCACCAGGTAAACAAGGAAAACTAGAACTCTCTAGTCTTCAACTCCATCAGAAACCCGAGAAGAAAATAATATTAGCTGAGTAAGCAGGAAGTGCAAGCAAACAACTTCTAAAATATATGAGAAACGACAGAAACAGCTGACTGCCTTGACAGTCACCCAAAGTTCTTCTGCAGTGTTGGGGCATCCATCTTCTGCCCACAGGCCTAGCATAGCTGATACACTTCTTTGTGAAGCAGGATATTCTTTTTTTTTCTTTTTATAATTAAATTTTTTTTTTATTGATTTTATTGAGCTATATATTTTTCTCTGCTCCCCTATCTTCCTCTCCCCTCGCCTTCTACCCTCTCCCATGCTCCCAATTTACTCAGGAGATCTTGTCTTTTTCTACTTCCCATGTAGATTAGATCCATGTATGTCTCTCTTAGGGTCTTCTTTGTTGTCTAGGTTCTCTGTGATTGTGAATTGTAGGCTTGCTTTCCTTGCTTTATGTCCAAAAGCCACTTTTAAGTGAGTACATATGATATTTGTCTTTCTGGATCTATGTTACCTCACTCAATATGATGTTTTCTATATCCATTCATTTGCTCACAAATTTCAAGATTACCTTATTTTTTTCTGTTGTGTAGTACTTCATTGTGTAAATATACCACATTTTCCTTATCCATTCTTCGGTTGAGAGGCATTGAGCTTGTTTCCAGGTTCTGGCTGTGACAAGCAATGCTATATGAACATAGTTAAGTACATGTCCTTGTGACATGATTGAGCATCCTTTGGGTATATACCCAAAAGTGGTCCTGCTCCGTCTTGAGGTAGGTTGTTTCCTAATTTTCTGAGAAATTGCCATACTGATTTCCAAAGCGACTGTACAAGTTTGCACTCCCACTAGCAATAGAGAGGGTACCCATAACCTCTCCAGCATAAGTTGTTATCATTGTTTTTGATCTTCCATTCTTACAGGTGTAAGATGGAATCTCAGGTTTTTTCATTTTGTTTTGTTTTTTTGTTTGTTTGTCTTTCGAGACAGGGTTTCTCTGTAGCTTTGGAATCTGTCCTGGAACTAGCTCTTGTAGACTGGGCTGGCTTCAAACTCACAGAGATCCACCTGCCTCTGCCTCCACAGTACTGGGATTAATGGTATGTGCTACCACTGTCCGGCTGCAAGTTCAATTATAGCAGGTGATTTAACTACTAACCTGCATTTCCTTATTATCCTAAACAGTTGGTAATAATAATTTTCAAGGACTAGAAATTTGCATTACATTGTTAAATGAATTATTTAAGTACAATACCTTGAATGAGAGAGTAGAAATGTATGTATAGTATGTTCTAACAAAATTAATCTCAAATTTGTATCAATATACAAAATTGATATACAGTATACAAAACATTTAAAACTAGTATAGTTGCTTTTTAAAAGTAGATTCAGTAATCTACCTTTTTTATCTTACCATATCTATGTCCTCCCCTTTTTTTCAAACAAGAACCTTGAATCTAATTTCCTTTGTTTAGCTTTTTTTCCCCTGATCCAATACCAATAGCAACTTGTAACCAATCCCCTTAAACAATGACAAATATCTGTAACCCTCTGACATCAAAAACTACCCACCCCACCCCTTGGGAATGTAGACATCGTATTCTTAAATTTACTTCCTGCTGTCTGGGGGGTGACAGCGTCTTTAGGGGATCCTGAAAAGAAAAATTTGTGTCAATTGTCAAGTCCTGGGAGAGGTAGCTGTATTATTTGCTGTCCAGTCTGTGTGTAATGGGAACGTGCAGGGCTCAGAGTAGTCTGTTAGCTTGGATTGTCTCAGCTACCCACCTTGAAATTATTCTGAGCAGTTTGTAGTCCAAAGGTGATCTTTAGGTGGTGTTTTTCAGCTTAGTGGTGTAATCATGGTCCTGGAGGAATTGTCATTGTGGGGCTCCATCCTCATTTTGGAGATTTCAAAGGTCGCTGTTAGACATGCTTATGGTTCACTGCTGAAATCTGATAGAGATTCAAACCTGAAATCATGTACAGGAAGACAAATGAAACCTTTTTCTAGAATTAGTTAGTACTCTATATGACCATTAATATCATGACAAAAAATTTAGAATATATGTATTAATCTTACAACATTTATACTTCCAAGAGTCAATATAAAAACCAAACGATTATGAGATTAGTGAAAATAAAATAGTCCTTAAATATTTGTTTTTCTTCTGTACCATATCAGGTGGTTCTTCGGATATTAGCGGAGATTTTAGATTTCACTTTAATAAACCTGCTTGGGTTTAGGGAAGGAGAGAGCCACCCTCCAACTCCAAAGCGAGCTTTAATCGTTAATTGACCTGAGACTACAAAAGAACATTTGCATTATGTATCTGTAGAGAACAACAGAAACAAACAATTGGGAAGGTTTATAAAATACTATTCTGTTGAAAATGTGATATATCAATAGGCCAATTTACTCTTCTTCTTCAGACATTATTTTTTGGGATGATTTGTCCTTTTTCTTCAGATGTCTCATTTGTCCAGTGGTCTTTGGATTCCTTAGCTGGATGTCTTCATTCCCTGAAAAGACAAAAAGAAAATCTCTCCCTAACCCTAATTTTGTGGAGATTCTCTTTTGGCAAGTTATATCTGATCAAATGAAATGCATTTGTTAGTTTTATATGTTAGTTTAGATTAAATGGCCATGTTGTTTGATGTTCTATCATCTCTTCTAATTAAGAGGTGTCTCTTGTTCAAATCGAATTTTTATCGATTTTGATGTTATTCATGATTTTTCTCCTGGGGAAATCAAAAGCAAAACCTCTTCCCCAACATAACATATGTCCTGGTTTTCATTCTAAGGTCAGTACATCTTTAAAGTATATCGACTGATTTCCTTCCATAGATTTTTCTACTATACAATGTCTCTCTGTGGCTATTGTTTGTTTCTCATCAGCATTTAGAGAATTCAAAGTTACTAAAGCATTATGCAATCTATTTCTGGGAGTATTTATCCTCCCTTTCTGTTTATTTAATATAGCCTTTAGAGTTTGATTTGATCTTTCTTTCCACCTTTCTGTTTATTTAACATATCTCTTAGAGTTTGATTTGATCTTTCTATAACTGCCTATCTGTAGGATTGTGTGGTATACCTATAATATACTTTATATAAGTGAAAAGATGTTTCATTTTCTTGAAGATATATGCTGGAGCATTGTCTGTAAGTTGTCTGTTGAAAACTTGAATGGGTATCAACCGTGTGGTGTCCGTATTTTAGTTTTCCAAATTCTACAAAATAGAATAATACATCCATCTTCCAGATTTCATTCCAGTACCCTTTGGGTTACTTCCTACAGGTAGTAGCATTTGGTTGTATAAAGAACAAGTAGGACATTTCCTTGACTCATTGTCACATGATAGAACAAGTATTTTTTTTTAATCTTTGCTATTGACATGATATTTTAAAATGAAATTCTGAGGCCTTCTGCACATTTCCAATCAATAATTGATCAGTTTCTGTATTACCTTGTGCTAGAGGACCTGACAGACCCTTATGGGATCAGATGTGTGTTATATATATGAGATGATGCCAATTCCTGGTTATATCTTGTAACTGAATAAATAATGAAGTCAATTCTGTATCTCATATAAATTCAGTTGTTTCAATATGCAAAACAACTCCTAAATATTGCAAATTGGTAGCTATGTTGAGAGGTTCTTTAAAATCCCTTAATATCATGAGACTAGCATATAATTCTGAATTGTACAGAATTGTAAGGGCTCTGTTCCACTTAACTTAAATTCTCTGATTCATAACCTTCCTTTCCTGATTTATTTGTATCAGGATAGAGTGTAGGGGCTCTAGTTATTGATGTATCCCCTGCAATGTAAGGAATTGTCCAATTAGTTCTCTGTATGAGTCGAATTTTCTTGCTTTTAGGATAGTTGTTGTTAATCTCTCCCAAAAAATTACTAGAAGCTCTTTACCAGGGCCCACTTTCTTTCTGTAATTTGTCAATTTCATCATTATTAAAAGGCACTATAACTTCTGCTGGGTCTATTCCTGCTAATTGACAAGGTCACAGTTTTCCTTTTAGACTTAACTCAGAGACTTTTTCCACGTAAGTTTTTAATTTTTTACTCAATTCATTCTAAGCTAATGTCTTCCCTCGGCAAATAAATTGCTGTAGGGAAATATTTGGAGGGTAATATGACCAGAATGCAGTTAAAATTTGGATTCACACAATCCATATGT